CCACAGCTCTGAATTTTGTTAGTTGTGGTTTTCTTTAATGTTCTTAGTCTGTTGTAAAGAGAAGTTTCCTTGATGTGCAGGATGAGGATATAAGGGACATATTTAGAATAGATTAGATAGCCATCTTTTTATACACTTACTTTCCTGGATAGCTAGTGGGAGTTAAACTCATCCTCACGAGTGCGTGGCAGATGCTTTAGCAATTGAGCTATCTCCTCATTTAATGATTCTTAAAGATGTTACCCATTCTTTTTGTTTGCCTGATGAGAGCACATATCTCTTGTTTTTTTCTGTGAAATCACTCATAGTGACTCTTAAAATGCTATGTTCATCTGTAAGTCTCTGTGTCAATATAGCTCATCCTCATCCTCAAAGATCTGACTCAAAATTTACAAAGAGAAGTTGGCTAAGTTTGGGTCCCCTGAAGTCTGGTGCAGTTGGAGGAAACATTGCAGGGCAGTACATTCTGGAGTTTGGGTTAGGCCTGTTTGTTTAGGGGATTGAGTGGAGGAAATTATTAGTATCTTTATCTCAGAGAGGAAGCAGTTTAATTATCTGTCATTACCACTAATTAGTATTTGTAACTCAGATCATTACGGATTTGTTGCTGGAAGATCACTTATGAAATGAGGGTCTCAATATCAAGGACCATCTGCCTGTAAAGACACAAAAAGTGACATGCATAAGTGTGGTTTACTCCTCAAATGAGACGAGCCTACCAGTAACTTGCATTTTATACCAAGTCAATTGACATCTTATCTTAGTCTTTTACTTTGTCATTTTCTTATTAAAGTTATTATTTTCTTTTCAGAAGCTCATGATAGCAGTATTTAATGAATGAATTTTCTACCTTTTTGGACAGAATTTTAATAAAAAAGTACTTTATGTATATGAATGTTTTACCTGCATGTATGTCTGAACCACATGTGTGCCTAGTGTCTGTGGAAGCCAGGTGTTGGACCCTCTAAAACTGGGGTTTCAGACACTTGTGAAATACCTTGGGGGTGCTGGAAATTGAATCAAGGTTCTCTGCAAAAGCAGGCCGCGCTCTTAATTGCTGAGCCATGTCTTCAGCTCCTTGACAGAAGTTTTTAAAATATTTATTTTATGTGCATGTGTCTGTACCTGGGTATATTATGTGCAGCACATATGTGCAAAGCCCACAGAAGTCAAAAGAGGGCATCAGATCCCCTGGAGGGTACGAGTTGGATGTGGTTGTAAGTCCACTGTGTGAGTTCTGGGTGTCAAATCTGAGTCTTCTGCAAGAGTGGTGCATGCCGTTCACTCCTGAGCTGTTTCTTCAGCCCTCTTTTCTATCTTTTTAATAAAATACAAATCTTTTTCTTGATTCTGTTTTTTGCTACTTTCCCCTCTGGGTTGAACCTTTTTCTTTCGAAACCATTGTAATATGCCTTGGGACTCCACAGTGAGTCTGAGGGAGAACACAAATGGCTCTGGCTTCTGAGGACTTGATGCCCCTAAGCCAGTGGGCATTTCCAGTCTTTCCTTCCCTTCAGTTTTTAATCAGGGCTTGATTCTGGTTGACTGTTTCTCTGGTTTTGAAGCATTCTCTTCCTTAAGTTCCAGTCCTGGTTTTGATCCTGGTTATGATCCGGGTTGTCATTCTGCTCCACTTGGTGTCCATTTTCCTTATTTTCTTCCATACAAATAATGATAATGCAGCCATCCTCTTAGCTGTAAGATGCTGGAACTCACAGCCTGTAAGCATTGTTCCATTCTTTGCTTCCTAGGTACCACAATAAAGAACATACTTTGCATAAGACTGTTAATTATGGGTGGTGTCTCACACAACTTGTACAGGCAGCAAACCTGCTTGTTATGCCAGATGTAATGTTAGTTATTTCCTTTTGATGCAATTACTTAGTCTTACCTAACAGGATAATCTTGACCATCTGGATCATACCATAAGTTATTTATTGGTACAAAGTTTTTGTTAATGACCTTTGTTTTACTGTTCTAAACAACCATTTAAGAAGAAATCAAGACATTAAATACATGTTCAGTTAAGGGATCATAAATACAAAAGCATAACTCATTATTATCGTAGATTGATTTTAAAACTTCATTTATCAATTTGTGTATGGGAAGTAACAGAAATGAGCCATTCTATCTCTTTTTTAATTTTATTTTTTGAAACAAGGTCTTACTATGTAGTCTTGATTGGCCTGGAACTCACTGCAAACCAGTCTGCCCTCAAACTCAGATGTGCTTGCTTCTGCCTCCTGAATGCTGGAACTAATGACATGCATGGCCACTGTGCCCCGCTCTTTATCTCATTGTTAAATTATTGTTTAAGGAGAAAACTTTCTGTAAAATATTGCCATCAATATAAGAGATGTTATAAAGTAAAAGTTTGTCTTTCATCTGACAGGCAGTTGATTATTTAGATGGAATTTCTATAAATAAAGCTGTATTAACTGTTGTAGTAATGCATGCCTGAAATTCCAGCTACTCTGGAAGCTGAGGCAGTAAGGTTATCTATCTACTCTGACAAGTTCAGGAACAGCCCAGTCAGTATAGCATGACTTGATCTCAAAAACAACCAGTAAAAATCTGTCAGGAGCCACAACATTTTGTTGTTGTTTGTTTGTTCATTTGTTCCTTCCCTCATAAGTTTTTAAAACCAAATTGAAACACACAGAGTTCTTTTTAATTTGTTTTTAAGATTTATGTGTTTGTATGAGTGTCTACATGTGTGTATGTGCACCATGTGCATATTTGGTACTCTTGGAATCCTGAGGAAGCATCAGGTGTCCCAGAGCTGGAGTTACAGACATTTATGATTGGCTCTGTGGTGCTGGGAATCAGACTGGGGTCGTCTGCAGGAGCACTAGTGTTCTTAACCTCAGAGCAGTCTCACCAGCCCTGAAACATTCTCAGCCACTTTTAGCCATTTTTATGAGGAAATTCTTAATATTTAAATGTTTTATGATTTAAAGACTCTCTAGGTGTGAGGATTTTATCTTTATGCATTGTATTTTGCCTGTTCTTACAAACTATGCATAGATTTCTGTGCATCTTTCGATACCAGGAGCTAGCAGCTGCTCTGAGGTTCCTTTTATTTTTTTGGCTGTCTCACTAGTGCCCTGCTGTCTTTTTATTTGTCCAACTGATGTCTTTTTAGGAGTTTTTGAATCTGTGACATAAATGTCTTTCATAGGTTTTAGAAATTATAAAACAACTATCTCTTGATTGTCCCTCTCCCAACTTTCTGTTCTAGTACTAGTTTTACTAGTACTAGCACCAGACTGTTTTGCATGTGTCAATGTATCTAGGTTCTTCCCTCCTCTGTGCTTCATCATTAGTATTTTCTATTGATGAACCTTTCTCTCCTGTTTATTCTTCTTCAGCTGTGGCTGACCTGATGTAAAATATATCTCATTTCAGTTACTTTATTACTTAGCTCTAAAGTTTTCATTTAATTCATTTCATAGTTCCCAGTTATTTTGCTAGATTTTTCACTTTATTTTCTGTCAGTTGTTGCTTTTTTCTCTATTTTAATGGTTTTTATTGTTTTAGAAATAGATTAGATCCTGGACATTTCTTGAGAGACATTTGGGAGTATATAAAAGGTTTGTGTTTTAAACTAGTGAAACTGCTTTAGCATGCAGACGTTCACTCAGTTACGTAAACTGCCTTTCTTGCCAAGTAACACACACATGCTGGCATGACAGAAAATGTAGCTTAAAGTTCCAGTTGAGTAATACTAGAACTTACTACATAGTATAGACCTTTAAGGTCAGTATCAAAAAGCAGAGGTTGTGAATGCTAAATGCAGGAGTCGTGAAAGACCTAGTTGGTAAGATATGTATGATTTTATCGGTGTTTATACCTAGATTGTTCCTGGACTATTTCTCAGTTTAGTTCCAGCTCTCATAACTGCTTGATTTCTCATTGATGCCTTTTATTATAATAGAGCGTACCTCTCTCATACAGACCTTTACATTATGACTCATAACTGTTGATTGCTCACCCTGTAGTAGTCATTTAGCCCGAACTTCACAGCTAATGGTCCTGAGATTCAGTCTCATAAGACAAGTCCACATAAAGTAGTAAAGATGATTCAGATTCTCTTCTTTGAGTTGAATGTCTAAAAGGGCTCTGAAGAGAAGCTGTCGATAGAGTGTAGATATCCCTACCTCTGATATTACCACTCAGTACACCAGGCCCTAGACATCACACCCCAAGATCTCCACTTGACACTGTGGGGATTTGTCTTGTCAGCTATGTGGAGGTAATGCAGCACTAATTGTTAACCAGTTTAGAGTTGCTCATCGCCAATAAACAGAAGAGATAACCAAGCTCTGGGTGACATTGTTCCTAAGATCTTTCTTGAGGAAGCTGATGGCTTGGATTCCTTAACACTTACTAAATTGTGCTTTCAGCTCATCTTTTACCAGCTGTGTGTCAGAGAGAACTCTGTTGTATCCCAATCCCTCCATCAATGCCTTGCCCACATGTTGTCACTCCTGCTGTCTCCCTGGCTAGCTTGTGAGCTTCTGGTTGGTAGTGACAGTGTCTTAATTATTTGTTCCTATCTATTCCCATAGTACTTCCTAAAACATAGCAGATAGTAAATCAATCTTTAATAGTTGATAGAAATATGTTTTAAAAAACTGATTCTTACTGTCTTTAACTTAATTTCATAGCTTTAGAAATCAATTTCTTTATTTTTTCCAAAAATATAAGTGCAATCTTTAAGGAAATACTGTGGACGTTGCCATACATAAACATTTATTAAGCGGCGTATAAAGTTCCTAAATTTCTGCATGTCATATTTCATACAAATAGACTGTTTTCTCTCAGAATTTTGACATATACATTGTTGATTCTTAGCCATTTAACAACTAAATGTATGCAGAGACATGTGATAGAGGCTAGTGAATAACTAAGTATGTGGGCCATTGGATAGAAGGACATTGTAATAGTTTGTTAGAAAAAGAAAACAGACTGAGTTTGATGTTTTCTTTCTGTCTTAGGGAAAAGTTCACCTTGAATTAAAACTGAATGAATTGATAACAGAGAACGGGACCGTGTGCCAGCAGCTTGTTGTACAGTAAGCATATCTTTTATATTCATTTATTTATTATTGCCAAAACCACCTAGAAATAATTCTCTATGTTCTTGACTAATTTTTTATTTTAAATATTTTAGAAACTTGAAAATAAAACTCTCACACATCACTTCTTTAGCAAGCCAATAATCCAGTTGTTTTTTTTTTTTAATTTAAGCCACTCAGGTTATGGCGAGTTATTATTCAACTAAGTTTTAGTGAATGTGGGCTAAACAACTATATAAGCATTAAGGTATGACAGGGTCATAGGAAAAAGCCTCTGACTTCCTAGCCGTGGAGACTTGGAAAGTGTTTCCAGAGAACATCTTCTCTGAGCACTCAGTCACTACACAGAGCTTTAGGGACGCAGGGGTTGGGGTGAAGAGGTCACATGACATGTCAGTCAAACTAAATTACCACTCTTGATTGCCAGCACTTTTCCTTCCTTGAAGTTCTTAGTAGTCTGACTGTGCTGTGAAAACATGTTCTAGCTTAGTCTTCTAATTCTTCCCTCCATAAGCTACCAAGCATTTCTCATTCTGGAACCTTCTGTGTCTTTGCCTCAGTTGACATCTAAATGTCCCCTGAAGTTATGAGGTTCATACCCACATTCCTTAGGGTAAGAGATTAGAGAAGTTGTTGTTTTCCTATCACTGCTCTGCACTGTAACTCACTCTCCTAATGATGAAACCCCAGTTCTTTCAAGGACTGCCTTTCTATGGTATGTGTACTAACACTATGTGATCCGAGGTATTCATTTCTTTTCTGCTTTTATCAACTATCTTGATGCATAAATAATATAGACTAAGTGATTTTTGCTATGTGTAGATAAATTCCAAACAGTGTGCTTATTAAGGCATTTTTTTCTAAAAGTTTTATAATAGTGATAGCTTTTAATAAATAAAATAATAAAATTTTCTTACTTACAGTTTTTGTCTTACTGATTTTCAAATTCAATTTGCCTATTAAAAATAGTCCAAAGCCAGGCATTGTGGTATGTGCCTTTAATCCCAGCACTCAGGAATCAGAGGAGGTGGGTCTCTGTGACTTTGAGGCAACCAGGGCTACATAGAGAGTTCTAGGACAGCCAAGTCTACCCAGAGAGACCCTGTCTTAACAAAAGAAAAAGACAGTCAAAAAATTGTGTGCAGACTTTACCCCCAGACTGAGAGCCCATAGTGGAATTTTTTGGACGAGGCACTTCTCCTCCCTTCCCTGCTTGGGTTAGTTATTCTAGTCAGTCATTTAAAGTACTGTTAGTTGGATTCATTTGTCTTATTTACATACTTGTTTAGGTTTTACTCTTTGGTCCTTGGTTTAGGTTTTTTTTAAAGAGTTAGTTTTTATTTATGTGTATTGTGTGTTTGTGTGAGTGTATACCATACATGTATAAGTCCTGACAAAGGCCAGAGGTGTTGGATCTCCTAAAGGTGGAGTCACAGGCTGTTGGGAACGATCTGATATGAGTACTTGGAACTTAACTGGGGTCTTTCTGGAAGAGTATCAAGGCTCTTACCTGCTGAGCATTTCTCCAGCTCCCTGTTGTTGTATTTTAGGATGTAGAATATTAGCATGATTTCAGAAGAAGAAATTGTATCAGAAAGCATTATTCATAGATGTAGTTTAGTTCCCTCTTCCTCACACCCAGCTAGCTCTAGGCAACCACAATTTGATGTCTATGTTTGTTTGTTTGTTTTACTTTTTCCAAAACATTTAGCCTTTTGTGTCTGGCTTCTTTTACTTAGCATACTCCTTTTCATATTCATTTACATTGTTGCCTATAGTAGTCATGAATCTTCTTTCTAGTGTTGTGTTTCCTGATGCTAGAGGCACACAGGGTTCTACCACTGAGCCAAACCCTAGCCCATTATTTTTCCCATAACTTGACAGATAGCTCAACCAATGTACATGCTGTTTAAGCCCAATCTCACACACTTAAGTTTCATGGCTAGATTTCAGCTTTGGACATTTATTTTAATTTTTTTAACTTGAGATTGTGGATTTACAAAGATAGTGCAAACAGGTCTTTGTGCTCTTTACTTAGTTTCCCACAGTATTTACATGTAACATGACTAAAATAAATTTGTATTCATACACTTTGTTGTGTATATACCACTTTATTTTATGCATAGATGTATGTAACCACCACCATAATCAAGAGACAGTACATAATGTCTTCTGAAAGCTTTTAGTCATGCTACCACCTGATAGTCACACTCTTCTCTACCACTACCTCAACCTTTCCAAACCTCTTTTCTGTCTCCAAGTCCATAACATTGTCATTTCAAAAATAGTGTGAGAGCTGGAACTGTACCTCACTAGTGGAGTGCTCCTTATATGCTGAGGTCCTGTGTTCAGTCTTGAGTAAAATGCACACAGACATACGCACAAAGAAGTAGGAGAAATCGAATCTAATTGTATAGCCTTTGAGATTGGGTTTCTCATGCAAATCTATATGAATGATGTGTAATCACTGTAAAAGTCGATTCTAGGGGACGGATTTGCTGGAGTTGCTACAGCTCCATGATCTAAGGGCACTCACTGCATTTGTAGAGAAACTGGGTTAAATTCCCTGCTCAAAACCATCTGTAAGTCTAGCTAGGGGAACCTAAGAACCTTTTCTGGTCTCTGTAGGCACCAAGCAGGCATGTGGTGAACAGGCATACATGCAGACAAAACATTCATTTATACACATAAAATAAGAATAATTTTAAAGTCATTTCTTGAGTTGGAGAAGTGACTTTGTGGTTAAAAATGTATATTTCTCTTACAGAGGTCCCAAGTTCAGGTCCCAGTGCCTATACCAAATGGCTGACAACTGCCTGGAACTCTATAGCTCAGTGCATTAGATGCCTATACACTCATGGATACATAGCATCCTCCCAATACACATCAATAAGTAATAGATAAAAAATAGTTTTAAAGTTCTGTGAACTTTTGCCATTTATTCTTAATGTAATTATTGATAGGCTTAACTGTCTTGTTTCTGTGTACTGTCTTCTATTTCCTTAATTTACATGAACATAAGTTAAAATTATGTTTTTATCTTTAGTCTTTTTCTATCTATAGTATCTTATTACATAGGTCCTTTTAAGTCGTTGTTTTAGATATTAAACTGTGTACATAAAGTATAACTTCCTGTTGTCAAAAATGCACCAGTTACAGACATCTTGCCTCCTCCTATTTTACCCTCTCCTCACTCCCATTTTTAATATATTTTCGTATTAAACATTGAGAATTATGCCAGTGTTAGAATTCTTTGCTTCAGGCATCTAACTTAATTCAGAAAAAAAGGAAAGCATAGTATTATTTACCCATTTCTCTGTGTGTGTGTTCTTTTCTTTCTTCTTGAATCAACATTCCTTTTGTCATTCTGTTTAAATAGCTCCCCTTCCCCTTTTTTCCCATTGTTCTAGGGTAGATCTAGGGTGGCAAATACTCCTCCTTTTCCTTCTCAAATGTTTTGAGTTTTCTCTATATATGCGCACAAAGTAAAACTAGTTCCTCTCTCACCATCTAAGCTTTGGCTCTGTGTGTGTGTGTGTCTGTGTGTGTGTGTGTGTGTGTGTTTGTAGTGATAGCATTAGTTTTTTGATTGGTTGGTTGCTTTTTGGTTTGGTTGATTTTTAGTTTTCTGCTTTTTGCTTTTTGGTTTAGGAACAAGTGGACATTAGCTTATGAAGGTTTGTTCGCTGGGTGCCCTATTTCTTGCCCTCCTTTGGAGGCAGATTTCTGAAAGACATTTTGTTTAAAGATACAGGACTTTTGGGGAGTTGGTATTTGCACAGGATTATACACAAATGTGTACAATATCAAAATTTGACCAACAGATACTTATAGGATAAAAAAAACCATTTTACATATTCTCTCACAGTTTAGTACCTGCTAGCCATGTATGGCTATTAAAGACTTGAAATATGACCTATGTGACTGATTTTTTTTTTTAAATTTTAACTTAATAGCCAAATGTGGTTAGTGGCTACAATGTTAATACAGCTCCAATAGAAACCAGAACGCCTGGAGTCCTGTTAGGCAATGGCTGATTCAGGGCTGACATAAGGAAAATGTAGGATGAAGCTAGAATATCTTATGAAATTAAAAAGTAAGGAAATACTCCAAAAAATAATAGACAGATAGATACAAATGAATGAGAGACATTGAAATCAATCTGAATGAACTTCAGATGGCCAGTTGTGGGACAGTTTCAGTTTTGAGTACAGCCTCAAAATTAGTATTACTAATGGACTAAAACTTGAAGAATAAAATAAATATTCATGAGTCACTTCTGATAAAAATAAACACAATTGTGTAGATACATAGGAAGAAACAGTTCCTTTTCCTTATAGTATAATTCTAATTAATGAATTTTGGAAGGACAATAGATATTGAATCAGCACTGGCAAACCCCACTGTAATAACTGGGTTCAAGCAGAGCGACAGTTACTGCATGCTTTCAGTTATATATGGATATTGAGAACACTTTTATCAAGGAAGTATGTGCAGACTAGTTGTTCCCAGAGTCTCAGGAAGATGTAGGGGAAGCATTAATGGAAAGAGGATTGTTAATGAATACAGAGCTGTAGGGTAGGCGGAATAATTTCTAATAATTTGTAGGACAGTAGGATGATTATGAGTGACAACTGGATATTTCAGCACAGCTAGTAGAGAGAATTTTGAACATTCCCCGAAGAAATTATGTTTAGATGTTAGATATGCCATATATATATGTGTGTGTGTGTGTGTATGTGTGTATTGATCTGTGACACTGTATTCATAGGTATGTACAGTTACATGCCAGTTAGAAATAAAAGCATATATGGAGGCTAGAGAGATGATTCGATGGTTAAGGGCATTGACTCTGCTCTTCTGGAGGACCTGGGTTTAAATCCCAGCACCTACATGGCAGTTCACAACTATCTGTGACTTCAAGATCTGACATTCTCACATAGAAATACATGCAGGCAAAGCATCATTGCACATAAAATAAAAAGTTAAATAATTTAAAAAAATAAAAATAAAAGCATATGGGGGCTGGAGAGATGGCTCAGCGGTTAAGAGCACTGACTGCTCTTCCAGGGGTCATGAGTTCAACTCCCAGCACCCACATGGAGGTTCACAACCATCTGTAATAGGATCTGATGTCCTCTTCTGGTGTGTCTGAAGACAGCAACAGTGTACTCATAAATAAAAAATAAATAAAAAGGAACAGTGTTTTAAAAAAATAAAAGCATATAAGTAAAATATAACTGGAGATCTGGAAAGATGGCATAGTGGTTAAGTGGTTAACTTGATACTCTTTCAAAGGACCTAGGTTCTGTTCTAGCATGTACATCATAGGCGGCTCACAGCTTCATTTCCAAGGGGATCTGATACCTTCTTCTGACCTTCTCTGGTGTCAGACAGGAAGGTGGTGTACATACATGCATGTAAACATTTGTAGAAATCAATGGCCAGATAAAGTATAATAGAATGAGAAGTATCTAAGAGGTTGCAGTTTGCATAGTCTCAAAGAAGCTCTCCATATAAAGTTATTTCATAGATTACACTTCATAGTAGCATATCCAGTACCTCTTGGTACTATGTACAGAAAAGAACACCGAGATATCTAATCAAAGAGACCACCTCCAGTAGATAGACATGGCTCCCAATAGAGGGATGGGGCCACTCACCCATCTTCAAAATTTTTGACCCAGAATTGTTCCTTATCTAAAGGAAATTCAGGGACAAAAATGGAGCCGAGACTGAAGGAAAGGCTGTCCAGTGTCTACCCCAACTTGGGATCCATCCCATGTATACACACCAAACACTGACACCATTGATGATGCCATGTTGTGCTTGCAGACAGGAACCTGGCATGGCTGTCCTCTGAGAGGCTCTACCAGCAGCTGACTGAGACAGACGCAGATACTTATAGCCAACATTGGACTGAGGTTGGGGACCCCTTTGGAAGAGTTAGGGGAAGGATTGAAGGAGCTGAGGGAAGGCAGCCCCATAGGAAGAACAACAGTATCAATTAGCCCAGACCTCTCTCTCAAAGCTCCCAGAGACTAAGCCACCAACCAAAGAGCATACATAGCCCCCCCCAACCCACTACACACACACACACATATATATAATATTGCAGAGGACTACCTTGTCTGGCCTCAGCAGAAGAAGATACGACTAATCCTGTAGAGACTTGATGCCCCAAGGAAGGGGAAGAATGCTGGGGGAGTGAGGTAGGGTAGGTGGGTGTGTGCATGGAGTGGGGGATGGGGGAGGACTCTCTCAGAGGCGATAGGGAGAGGGGAATTGGGTGAAGAACTTGAGAGGGAGGACTGGGAAGGGAAGCAACATTTGGAATACAAATAAAATAATTTAAAAAACAAAACAAAAAAGAACTATCTTTAAGCTGGGCACCACCCCAAATAGAACCTCTTTGGGCTAGCCGGCGGTGGTGGCTCACGCCTTTAATCCCAGCACTTGGGAGGCAGAGGCAGGCGGATTTCTGAGTTCGAGAGTTCGAGGCTAGCCTGGTCTAGACAGTGAGTTCCAGGACAACCAGGGCTACACAGAGAAACCCTGTCTCCCAAAACCAAAAAAAAAAAAAAAAAAAAGAACCTCTTTGGGAGCAGAATCTAGACATGTCTGATTTACTTAAATTATTTTTATTTTGATAAAATAACCATAATGTAAAAAGGCGTCTGATCCCAATCTGATTAAGAACAAATGTCAGACAAATTCAGATTAAGTAATCTGAAAGTTATCACAGGGCCAGAGACTAAGAGGGCATGGCGACCACGGGCAGTGTAGGATCCCATACTGCATCCTGGAGTGTGGCAAAGTTTGAGGGACACATATAGATTAATTAGCATTAGTAACATTGACTGTTAGTTTCTTTCTTTCTTTTTTTTTTTTTTTTTGTTTTGTTTTTTTGAGACAGGGTTTCTCTGTGTAGCCCTGGCTGTCCTGGAACTCACTCTGTAGACCAGGCTGGCCTCGAACTCAGAAATCCACCTGCCTCTGCCTCCCAAGTGCTGGGATTAAAGGCATGCGCACCCACTGCCCTGTTAGTTTCTTGATTTCAGTAGCTTCACCTTGTTTACACAGAATGTTAACATTCAATGTTAGGGTTTACAGAAACTCTGTATGTTATTTTTACAACTGTTTCAAAGTCTGCAATTATAATTAAAACAAAATATTTTAAATTGTCTGTACCTTGTATATTCAACCTGTTTGGTTTGAGTCCTGGTCTCACATACCCACTGGACTATCATGCAGCATTGCCACGTTTACACAGCTAAACTTTTACTCATTTTACTCTCATGTTTCTTCAGCTCTTCTCCGTAGTCTTAGCAGATACTTAAGTCTACCTGTGTTTTTTAAATCAGCCCTTACATTTTTTCCACCTCTAGACCTTTATTTGTTAAGGTTTTCTGAGTCTGGGCTGTATGGAGTAAAAATCATCTGCCTCTGTTTTGGTGGCTTTTCTTTTTACTCTAGACCATGTGTATTCATCGTTTACATTGGACATTGAAGTCACCAAGTACTTTGTGTTGTAATGTACTTGAGTTGTCTTTTAGTTGTCTTACTTGGAAACAATTCATTCTGTTTATAATTTGCTTTTAAGCTTTGTCAGATAGATGAGAACCTCATATATCATAGAGCTTGCAAGAGGCCCACCTAGCCACAGAAGAAAACTGGTAGTTTATGAATAATACCATTAGTGGGAAAAGATAAAGTCCAAAATATTTCTTTGGCCTGTACTTTTTTAGTTTTAGAAATTTTTTAATTTTATTTTTGATGCCCAGTTTAGTAGAAATGAGTCTTATTTTCAGTTTTCTCTTTACTTGGCAGTACACCATTTGCAGTTCACCCATGAGTGAGTCTTGGAGAGAAATAGAGGATGTTGCTCAGTAGGGCTCTGTAGAAACAAAAACAAAAACACTTGGCATTCATGAGCTTCTGTGAGGGATCAGGAAATGAGACTTAGACTTTAAACCAACGAACTTATTAATAATTAGTGAGAAGCTCTGAGAATGAGATCATTAGATTGTGTTCTTTACTTTCTATAGATACAGCTATAGCACATAAAGTAGGTTGGATAGCCTTGTGTTTTGTAGTGTAGAACATTTTGTACAGAATGTTGTAGGAACTGTTGTTAAGAATCAGCATGAAAGACTAGAGAATTGTGTGAGGCTTGACCTATATTTATGAATCAGATTTTAAGTAAAACCACAACCATTTCCTTGTGTGTCATTCATGCTTTAGCAGAGGATATGGTGCCACGGAGCTGGCCTGGTTTGTAGTTTCTCATGTAAGGCTATACCACTTTCTTTTCCGTTTTAGAAGCCGCAGCAGTTTTGATGTATTATCAACCACAGAAGGTACCCTGAGCATGTCCCAGGAAGAGCTGTGTTATGCTAGTCTGAGTTCCGATTGTTGTTCCTGTGTCGTTCTCTTGGGGAAGTAATCATGTAAATAAGCAAATACATCATTTGGAGTAGTTGATATATTAGACCTACAAAAATGGTAAACAATGTTAAGGTCTTTGAATATAAGGATTTCTAGTTAAAGATAGTGTTTTAGGTTTGACAGTGCAGCTCAGTTGCAGGGCCCTTGTCCTGTGTATATGAATGAAGCCAGGGTCTGTTCTCAGTCCTCGAGAAGGCAAAGAGGTAAAGAGTGTAGATGATATGTTATGATGTTAACTCTCATATTTTAACATCTGTTTTATTCTACCTCAGCATCAAGGCCTGCCATGGGCTGCCTCTCATCAACGGACAAAGCTGTGATCCCTATGCCACAGTCTCCCTCGTGGGCCCTGCTAGGTAACGCTTACTGAGTTGTTACTGGGTTTTCAAGTTTAAAGTTGGATTTAAGAATTAGAAATGTAAAGTTCTTAGATCGAGTGCTGAGTGAGTATGACATAAAATAATGCTTTAAAAGAATTTTTAGTAAGTTCTCAAGTACACTTCGTAAACAACTAAGTTCTCTTTTCACAGAAAGATACTGAGTGTCATTTCAAATCTGCTATGTGTTTATTAGGTTGTGGGAAAACTTCAGTCTTTTTTTTTTTAATCTTTAAATTTAAATTTATTAAGACATTCATCTATGTCTGTCAGTCTACATCCAAATTTGCTACTAAAAACAAAGGTAAACCACATCCCACAGTAGGAATACCAAGTCTGAAATACACTTTTTTTTTGAGCCAAGCTTATTGTATAAATAAATGACTAGTTTCTTTTCATATCAAAAATCCATTAAAAAAAATTACATCCCCTCTCCCCCGTTCTACCTATAGCCATGATGAATGTAAAAATTTAAATATGACACATCCTTGTCAAAGAAAGGGTGAAAAGTGTATTAACAGCTTCAAAAGTGGTGTTTCCAGAGTGGGGTCATACAGTTCAGTACTCATTCCCAAAATGCAAACATTGCCATAATTTAACACTGCTTTTGATTCAGTTGTGAGAATTAAACATTACACAGGATTGGACAGTACACTCAGGGCCTTTATCAGGGCCCTAAATCCCCTCCCACTTTGGCCTCTTTTGTTAAAGTGGACTCCAGAGTGTTCGTTAGAATTTTAGTGTACTTCACACAGCCAGCAAAGTATGCAATATATTAACAAAAGTTCCATATACATCAAAATAATGAAGACTGCAGCATCAAGTTCAAGACTCTCAGGTGACAGGAGCGCACCTGCAAGGCCCAGTGCACACCCACCCCTCCTCCCAGGCACATCCTGACATACGTGCGCCTCCATCTCAGGATACAGTCAATCTTTGATTTCATTGTGGTTCTATAGAAAACTCCAGAATCATTTGGTGGTTTTAATCAACTGAGGGAAAGGGGAGCAGAGACAAGAGCTGGCAGTTACCCATACTATACAATCGGAGCGGTGCTGCCCCATGGGAAGGGGAAAGCCAGGCCCACCTCTGCCTTCATCTTCCCACACTGGCCTCCACATCTTCATCCTCTTAGCCCCCTTCAAGCTCTCAGACCTGATTTCATTATCCCTCGCAAATCAGGGGCCATTCTTGAAGTTGCTGAGGTTAGATTTTCTTGGCACACCTCTACAAAACATCAGCATAGAATGTATAAATACATTTTGATTAGTGTACATTGCAAACTTTCTCCAACAACATGAGAGGGTGGAGAGCAGAGGGTGTCCACTGAGTACCCCTGGAGCAGATCCTTGGAATAAAACTTCAGTCTTATAGCATTGTAAAATGTACTTTAAAATACATTCCTGGGCCAGGTGTTGGGGATACATGCCTTTAATTGAAGCACATGGGAGGTGGAGGCAGAGGCAGGTGGATCTCTGTGAATCCAAGGCCACCTTAGCCTGTATAACAAGTTATAGGCCATCCAGAGTCTTAAAAAAAAAAAATCATATACAGCTGGCTGCCTTTACTCATTAACATTCCTACTTTCAAATACCCTCAATTTTATATAAGTAAAAAAGAAATCACATTTTAGTGAGTGTCAACTCAAAATAGCAAAACAGTTTCCATATCAGTGTCTGGAAAGCCGCTTAGAACTGAGAACTGCCTTTTCTGTTCATGGTATCAGTGCTTTATGAAGCTCTAGAACAACTGAGGTCCCAGACTATGGAGAAGTGCAGCGTGACGTTGAGTAATTGGTCTATAATTTATGAAAAACCAGTAACACTTTGCAGTATCTATATTAGATAACTTAATTGTAGTTTCTTTACAAGACTGACTAGTCTGGAGTTTGTCTGCAACTTGAAGCTGTTCCAATCAAGAAACAAAAGCACAAAATTTGCTATCCCTTATCCTTATCACCTTGACTTCCCTTATCACCTAAAGCTCTATTCTTTTTTTATATATATAGTCAAGAAGTCTTAAAAAGTGTGTGTGTCTGTGCATGTGTGGGGTGTGTGTGTGTGTGTCCATGGCTGAAATACTCATCTGTTATTATTGCAGATTGGTTTTAAATTTAAAAGCAGAAGTTCATATGGCATTAAACGCTGTCAAAGGGTTTTCCCATCATGTTAAAAACGTTCAACCTCCTGGACATTGGGAGCACATGATAACCTCTGTACCTGGGCGGCTGATGAAGAGAATCACAAATCCTGGCCAGCCTGCACTACTTACTTAAAACCAAGTCTCACAGAGAAATCAGAGGGGAAACAAGTCAGCCTAGAGGAGCTGCTTGTTTGGAGTAAACCTTTCTTGTAGTTCTGTAATTGAACCAGACTATCGACACTAAGCACTTACTCTACCAGTGAGATATATTCTCAACTCAGGAGGCTGTTCTTATTTTCTGTTTAATGATTTCTATCTCATGACACATTCTTAATGGAACTTTTAAAGTAACATTCCACAGAAACTATTTTTTTTCATGATTTATTTATGCTTATTTTATGTACATTGGTATTCTTCCTGCTTGTATGTGTGTGTGAGGATGCCAGATCCCCTGGAACTAGAGTTATAGACAGTTGTGAGCTGCCGTGTGGATGCTGCTAATTAAACCAAGACCCTTTAGAAGAGCAGCCAGTGCTCTTAACCACTGAGCCATCTTTCCAGCCTGAAACTTTTTTTTTAATCACAGTTGATTTTGTTATTATACTACAGTTGCACAAGATATTCACATTGGTTGAGTCTAGCTAAAGACACAAGACTCCTTGTACATTTCTTTATAACTGCCTCTGAATTTGTACATTCACTTGAGAATTAACAGGCTTTTTTTTTCCCTTGTTTTTGTAAGTTACTGTCCTGGCTGTAGCTCCAGAAGTAAACTGAGTACTTTTCATATTTCTCAGGTATTCCAGCATCAGTAAAGGCACTTTGAGTCTCACTGCCTTTCTTCTCACCAATTGTGCTTGTGTAAGAGGATGTGTTTTAAAATGTCAGAGATGATTTGGAATCAGCTTCTTACAGCCATGGACACAATAACCCAATCTTGGCATGTATAGATATATAAAACTTGTATCCTGTGTATAGATAGTCATTGGATTCAAGTTTGTGAGGCTTACATCCCTTGGCTTTTTTCCCTTGCATAGTATGTAAATTATTGTCTTAGTCATCCAACATGTAGACAGAGGTCAGGCATCCTAGTTGGAAATAGCTTGTTTTATAATTGTGTACTATTAAGTTCTACAAGGTAAAACTCTACCACATTGTAACAGGAATGACCAAAAGAAAACAAAAGTAAAGAAGAAAACAAGCAATCCGCAGTTCAATGAAATCTTCTATTTTGAGGTAATTTCTTGTTTTATATAAATGTTAATGTTTTATATGTAATTCTGGTTGATTTAATTTTGTAAACCACAGCTATAGTAATTATGTTACCAGTTAACACAGCTAGTAATCTCTTCAGAGAGCAGTAGAACCATGGTGTCACACAGATGCTTCTGGCTGGTTTGGAAGTGGGCAGGGCTAGAGCCCCCACCCTGTAGTCACTGTCATTGTCACAGCTACCTTCAGAGCCTCCCACACTTCCAGTCTACCTGACACATAGAGACTCTTCTGAGCAGACTGTTTGAAAACCTATAGAAATTTAAATGTCACCACTCAGAAGATTTGAAATCTTTTCCCAGTTGACACCAATGATCAATTAAATGTAAAGCCTCTGGAAGGTTGATTCTATAAGGAAGAACAGTAGCAAACATGCCAAATATGCGACTGCTTTGAGAGTTTGAAACACGGTGATTAGACCTTTTTACCATTAAGTTCTCCATAATCTAATTTACTCTGTAAATGTAGCTTGTTCTTGAAGATCTCTAGCTGCCTTAAGTGAGTGCTAACTACTAGGCCACCACGTCTACATCTTCAGCTGCTTTGAAATTGCCCCAAATAAAGTGCTTTGGCATTCTTTCAAGTATTTAGTCCTTTTTCATATTAATCGAAGACTATAGGAAAATCTGAAAATCAAAATATCTAAAAGATTGTAATAACAGAACAAGTTGCAATTGATATTAGCATATGAGAACAGTTTGTAAAAGTGGGTAATTACATATCGAAGATTTTCTTTTGTATTTTTCTTCTGTTTTGGAGAGGGCTCCAAAGTATCCCTACTCGTGCCTGATTGTTGTTCTTTAATAAAAAGGAACGTGGGCTGAAGAAAATGCCAAAGGTGACATAAGAAACTAGGGGGGCAGGGTAGAAGGGAAGGAAGGAAAACCTACTAAGTCAAGAGACTTCCTTTCCTGGCTAAGGACTTGGTGCAGTTTTCTACATTAATGGCTCTGTTGTCTAAGCATGAGAGTGTGAAGAAGATGGCAGTTTTAAAAACTGCTATCCAAAGTCACTCACTGCACATAGTTCACACCTGAGATGGGCTGAAATTCACCATGCTCAGACAGAACCTTGTAACATGGAGGTAACTTTGAAAGCCGGGGTCTGCAATGCTCACCTCACCAATTGACCTCTCAGGCCTTACAGTGTCTATTCATCCAGCCCTTTGTCGGATGGACTATAAAGACAGGATGTTCAGTAGACCCAGAGCACACACATACAGTGGCATATACGCAGCTGTCACCTGGAGCACGTACTACGTGAGCTCAGGGTCAAAACAGTCCAGAGAAAGACTTCTAAGTGAGAACAGAGATAATACTACAGAGACAGAAAAACTGAAAGTTATACCCCAAGAACATCAAGTAAATATTTAACTGAGTTCCATAAGAAAGTAACTGGAAAAAAGTAAAAAGATGGAATAAACTGGTAAATGAGGCTTTCCAGTGCCTGGCCCAGGTGCTTTCATTGTAGCCATTGAATATACTTGAACTAGAAAGAAGTAACTATGATCTGTTAGCAGGCACCTACAGACTTACGTTTTCAATGTTCAAAGAAAGAGCTGAGAAGGGGACAGAAGTTGAGATAACTGGTTATGGAAGATGAGGGGAAAGAAATGAAAAGCATCCGTAGATCTGTGTAAAATCTTCCACCAGGCGTCAGATGTGGTGCATGCTATAATCCCAGTCCTTGAGAGGTGTGGGCAGGAAGATCAGTTTCAAGGCCACTCTCTCAGGCCACCTTATCTCAGAAAACAAATAAAATTTGTCAGCAGGACAGTTGGTGACTGAAACATGGTAGGTGATAACTATGGATCACAATACAAGATTTGTTATGGAGTCAGGAGAGCCAACAGGGTGAAGAGATGAAGCAGAGAAGCAAACCAAAGCAGCTCCAGTGCTTACTAACTGCTCAGCTTCTAACATGCTGATTGAGTTTGTACTGTAGCTTCCTGATTTTTAAAGCTAAAGCGAGGGTAATAAATCTAGCCCTGCCTGCCTCAAAGCAACATTCTGATGAGTCAAAGAGATGTGATAACACTTTGTAAGCCAGGCAATATGGTGTGTGGCTTTAACTTACTTTTAGAGCAAAATACAACAGTCTTGGAGAACCACCTGTGCAAATTCCAGGGAAGAAAAGAGCAAGAAGAGATGGCAAGCTAGTTCTTTGGCAAACCAAATGCAATGCAAAGAGCTCTTCTGGGAATAGGTCAGAGAGAGAGAGGCCAGGGACACTGAGGAGTACGTGTTGACCACTGATTTGGTGATGAAGAGAGAGATTTTAGAAGGGTGATCTGTAAAGAAGCTGAGTTGGTTTCTGTCCTGAGAGGTGGGTGGTGAGGAAGTGCCCATCTCGGGATGAGTGAGAATTTGTTTTTAGGTGGTTGTCTGAAAAAGAGACAGGGGCACTGTGATTTAGGGGGAGACTTTTTCTTAAGACTAGAAAGAAGTGATCAGACTAGTAAGGACAGCTGTACTTAAAGTAGACCAAATGCGTGTAACACATGCTTCTTAAATACTGTGGCAGAAGGAGCAGGCTTGGGGAGGTAATCTTAGAATCATCACCTTTTCAAAAGGCCTGAGGGTGGGAGGGAAGTGGAGGAGGCTTAGCTTGGTGGCAGTTGAGGAAGTTCCTTCCTGGTGGCCTTGATATTTTCTGTAAAAAAAAAAAGAAAAGAAAAGAAAAAAAAATGTGGGAAGGAAATATGAGTAGGTGTGTCCTTTGTGAAAGCTGGGAAGACTATAGGGTAGTGTTACCCGTACAGACAGACCTCTGTAAACCACAGAACCAGGTGTGGCACCAGCTAGAGCTGACAGTGTGGAGACAAGGAGGCCGTTGATCTTTATGCCAGCCCTTCTTACCTTCTGGTGCATAGTTGGTACACTTCCCACGCTTTGGAAATTACTCACACTTGACTCTTTTTATATTTGTAATTGAATATTTTGGGAATGGTCATATTTGAACTCATGAAGGAAAAAGATATTTTAAACTGTTTTTACTAAAATACTTCATTTGTAGGTAACCAGATCCAGCAGTTACACCAGGAAGTCCCAGTTCCAGGTGGAAGAGGAGGACATTGAGAAGCTGGAGGTCAGGTCGGTGCCTTGCTGTCTTACTAGAGAGTGGCTTTTTCTCTATGTAAACCTTGAGAGAACTCTTCATAGCAAGTTGATTGATGAAACTTAGATGTAACAGGCATCTAACTTAATCCACTTAGCCTTTCAAAATCTGGTTCTTTTCAGAAATACCAAAATATTTTTCTTGTGTGAGCAAAGACAGCCTAATTTCACCTATTCTGTTTTTCATTTTTCTCTATTTTAATTGCTCCTTAACTTTCTGGATTATAGTATAATGAATGGGAAACCAATTATATTTAATCAAATTTAGAAATAATTTTTTTATTCTTCTTAACATATCTGCTGACTATCAGAAATTTCAGTGAGGTAAGGAAATAACTGCACAGGTGCATGTGTTTGAAGTCTGTGACATTTCCTAGGTCTTAAATATCTATGCTGTTTTGGAAAGGAAACTTTTGCAAATGCATGTGTAGGTGTGGTGTTAACAGTGTGTTGTCTAAAAGGCATATTAATCTTGTGTTCACAGTGTTAGGCAGTATTTTCTAAATCACCAATCTTTACATATTAATTAATTTATCATCAAAAGAGAAACTGTGGTCTTGTATTGTTTTGTTTTCTCAATTCAGTAAAGTAATCCTTTTGTTCTAATGCTACAAATTACAAAAAAAAAAGAAAACACCTAGACTTTCAAACTAAGTTTCTCCTTTTATACTGTTTAGAATTTGGCCAGGAAGGTGGCTTAGCTGGTAAAGGCACTTGATGCCAAACCAGTCTACCTGAGTTCTAGTCCTTAGACCCACACGATGGGAGAAAAGTACCAGCTCCTGTAAATTGTCCTCTGACCTCCACGTGTGCACAGTGGCATGCATCCCTCCCCCAAAATTAATAAAGATGTTCATTAGAATTTAAGTCGTGATTTTTTTCAATAGAAGTTACTGCAGTAATTTGCTTTCAAAGTCTAGATAATGCATTATATGATGATGCTAACATCTCTTTTAAAAGCATGTAAAAATTAATGCTGTAGTACAAGTCAAAACCACTCGAAACTACTCGGTGTGGTTTGCAAAAACTAAAGCTAGGTTTTCAATTTTCAGAATTGACTTGTGGAATAATGAAAACCTAGTCCAAGATGTTTTCCTGGGAGAGATTAAGGTTCCTGTCAATGTGTTAAGAAATGATTCCTCTCATCAAGCCTGGTAAGAAGACAAATACTCTAATGAACCAAGTTTAATTCTCTTTAATAAAGAATATAAGTGTATGCTTGCTGGAATAAGTCAAAAGTTACTGACATTAATTTGGTTATGAATTTGTTATTAGAGGAAAAATAAGTACATTAATAGTTGCATCACTTGATCTATGATACTAAGATAAAAGAATTTAGTTATCTAGGAATATTTTTCTGTTTAAGAATAAAATCTTGGGGCTGTAGAGATGTCCAGACTCTCTGCTCTGTTTGAACTGAGTTTCAGATCCCAGCACCTACCTCAGACCACTTGCCAAAAAAAAAAAGGCTTTAAGTTTAGGCCTAAGGAATCCACTGTTCTCTTTGGTCTTGACGGGCACCTATACATGGACATACACTAAAAATAAAGTCTTAAATCTAAGAAATGAAAAACATTAAGATATCGAATGAACCATTCATAATATGTTTGATCACATGTCATCATCTGCAGTTTAGATGCTTTTTGGTCACAGAACTATGGGTGGAAAGCAAAAGACTTACTGAGAAGACACAGCAGTGTGTGTGTGGCGGCCGGGGTGTGTGTGTGATTTTCCATCATCACACACTTTAAAATGCAGATAACCTTGCTGTACTTCTGAGTGTAGGGTGTCGACATTGGACTGATTGACTGTTGAGGAGCTGTGGGGACTCAGTACTGACTATAATGTCATTTGGCCTTTTTATGGCTCTAATAGTGATACTAAATTGATGTTAGTAGCCTTGATGTTTTGCCACTAAATTCATACTTATTTCAGTGTGAAACTTTTTGTCTGCTATAGCCCTTAAAAACTAGTGTTTTCTGTCTCTTCATGTGTCTTGGCCCATGTTTCTTCCTAGATTGCTATTTCCATTGAGTATATAGGAACATGCTTTCTCAGTTGTTGGTGCTTGTTCACGCTGGTATGTGAACATGTAGGTATTGAGAATAGAGCTTGACACTGGATGTGTTCATCAGTCACTCAGTTTTTGGAGAGAGGACTTCTGAACCAGGATCTCACTGATAAGCTAGGCTGGCTGGACGGTGAGCTCCAGGGAATCTACCTGTCTTTACCTGCCCAGTGCAAGGAGATTACAGATGTGCACACCACTAAACCCAGCTTTTCCACAGGTGCTGGGAACCCAAATTCGGGTCCTCATGCTCTACATAGCAAGCACTTTGTCACCTGAGCCATTTCTCTAACCTCTGTCACTTCCCTTTAAAGATTACTTATTAAAATGAAATGTAATATTTGTGCTTGCTTATTAAGTATAATGGTGCCACATGTATATACTGTGTAATGATCAAATAAGTATAGTCAGCATTTCTGTCTCTCAAATACCATTTTCGTGTATTGGGATCCTGGAGAATTACTATGCTGAAATGTAGCATCATTTGTTACAGACCAGAGTTAACCTGTTGGATTATAAACAGGTGAGCTGCTGCTCCCGACGGCACTTAGAGCTGTTTTAGTAACCGTACATTTCTCTCCCCTCCTCCACTCCTGCCTCTAGCAACCTATGTTCTTCCTATTTTGTTTTATGTGAATCAACTCTCATTTTCACAAATGAATAAGAACCTGTGGCCTTTGTCTTTCTGTGCCTTACTTCACATGAACTGTAAAATGACCTCCAGTTCTAGATGGGTTACTACAAGTGACAGGATTTCACCCTTTAATAGTAAGATGTCTGTTGATGAGTAAATGGACTTAAATAATGTGGTCTGTACACACTGGAATGTTAACCATAAGAACCATTCTTTAGAACTCAGCTACCTAGAAGAGGAGTTGGTGTTGAATGTTTAGGGGTTGGATTTTTGTTGTTTTGTTTTCATTCTTTTGGTTTCTGAGACAAGAGTCTCAACCACATCTCTTGGCCCCAATAATATGAATATTTTAATTTAAAGTAGCCTGTTAGAAGCATAAATGCTAAAATTTATGTAGCATAGAAGAGAAGAATCTGCTAATCTATATGTATAAATGTACATTGTATGGAAATATAAAAATGTTAATGCCATTTTGATTCGAGATCTTGGTCTCCTTTATCACTTCTAGAGCTGTAACACCCTCTAGTGGTATTAAAGGTAACTGCACAAAAACTCATTTCCATCCAGGCATAATTATTTCTAATGCTGATATTGCAAAAGGTCATAATAACTTATTAGTAAGCAGTAATATTGTTTGAAGTTTTTCTGTTTTCTTTTTTCAATAATTTCCATTAGTATATATGCTTATTATGTTGGATGTCTAAAAACTGGTTTTTAATGGTTTCAATTTTTTTAAGATTTCTATTTTAAATTATGTATATGAGTGTTTTGCTGCAGCTATGTCTGTGCACCACATGTATGCCTGGTGCTTGTGGAGGTCATCAGGTGGTGTCAGATGCCTTCACATTGAGTTACAGACAGTTGTGAGCCAGCATGTGGGTCCTCTACAAAAGCAGCAAGTATTCTTCACTGCTGCGTCATCTCTCCAGCCCTACTTCCTATTTAATTTTATTTGCAGATTATAATATGATGACTCAAGCCACTTTCCCGTTGCTTTCTAAATATTTTTTTGTTACACTTATTTACTTTTATGTATGTCCCTTGTGCTTGCAGCATGTGAATTCCTGTAGGAATTCTGTTTCCACCACTTGATTTCTGGGTATTGAAGTAAAGGTATCTCTGTTTACCTTGAGTTGGTTCTCGGTGGTGGTGGAACCTGGGAGAATGAAATGGACTAAAGTTGCATGCAGTAGCCAACTGCACTCAGAGCATCAGACAATTTAGACTCTGAGGGTTAAGAAGAGTCACATGAGTAAAGTGTACAATCAATCACAAGGACAAGCTACATGTGCCAAAACCATGCTTTTCCATAGAGGCATATAAACAAGTAACAATAGCCAGTGGAATGAATAATCAAAGTGCTCAAATTCACTCTTATCTGCTACACCTGGGAGGAGAATGAAAACACATTCCAAGAACAAGTCTATGTTTTTGAAGAAACTGTGATTACAAGACTCTTGACATTTTCTCACAAGCACTCAAAATTTCCCTTGCATGACTCCACTCTTGGCCTGTGTTCTGACAGTCAACAAGTGCTTTCTTTTACCCATTGAACCATCTTGCCAGCCCCACTTCTTTTCTGAGAGATTTATCTCCTTAGCATTGAGGGGCGGGGAGTGATAATTAGATCAGATGTTAGCAAAGTAGGAATTACACTATTCCTAGGTAAAAAGATGTAAAAAAGAATCCTGCCTCCTTCCCCAGTGCTACTCAGCTAGGTCCTGTTTCTGAGCCAGCCACTGTTCTCTAGTTTCTGGGAATATTTTCTGTATTCTTGGGGAAATGCATATGTATGTTTTCATTCATTGTTTTATTTTTTTGGAATTAGGTTTCTGTGTGGCCTAGGAGTCATAATCCTCCTGCTTTAGCTTCCCCAAGTGCACACAACCACAGATTTATCTATACTATGCTTGTATCTTTACTTAACAATATAGTAGAACACTATAGACATGCATTGACTCTTGATAGTGGTTGACAACTTACACTCTAGAATCAAACTGCCTTAATTTAGGTCCTGTCCTCACCAGTAACGACATGCTCTGTGCTTGCACTTAATTTCGTGCTGAAGACTGAGTGTGCTGAGAGCACATTTCACTCTCTGAGCTGCAGTCTGCCCTGTGGTCTGTTCTTCAGTAACTCACCTGTTGACTTAGCCCACTGTTAACTGCCATCACATGGAGTCAGCTGTACTTTTACTTTAGGTACTTGCTACAACCAAGAGACAATGGAAACAAGTCATCTAAAACTGATGACCTGGGATCTCTTCTATTAACTCTGTGTTATACAGAAGACTATGTGCTTCCGTCAGAGTACTATGGACCGTTGAAAACTTTGCTGCTAAAATCACCAGATGTTCAGGTACTTTAAAAATCTTATATGGCTAAACTGATTCTGTAAATGATAAGAAGAGATTTCATAGTGTCGGCTCTTACAAAGTGCTGTGTATTTGATTTCTCTGAATCTGAATACTGATGTGTGCTTCAAATTTTATCTCTGATTATAATTTAGAAAACTTAGTACTATTTTATATATCCATTATAATTAATGAGTGTGTTTAAATTACATCCACAAGTTAGTGATTAGGCATGTAACCATGTTTCCTTGATTCTGTGCTTGTTTTCTACCTTCTTTATCCTAGCCAGTATCCGCCTCAGCTGCTTATATTTTGGGTGAAATATGTCAAGATCAAAAGGATGCTGTTTTGCCCCTTGTGCGACTGTTGCTGCATCACAATAAGCTTGCTCCTTTTATCACTGCGGTGGCTGAACTGGACTTGAAGGATACTCAGTAAGAACTGTATTTCATTAAATGTTTAAACTTCAGTTTGCCAGATTGTTTTAACAGTCTCAGTTCTTTGTATTGACCAAGTTTACTATACACTAGGTTAAAAAGAACTGCTTAATCAGTAACAAAAGACAGTTCTTAGAGTTGCCAAACAGAATCCAACTGTGAGAACCAGTTACTGCAAGGAATGTGTATAGTTCAATGGTGTGGTTCCTTTGTTACTATTACTGATCTTTGCTGCTGGGTACAGTGATTCACACACCACAGCAGCAGCTCAATACGGTGCATGTGTAGGCACACGCAGGACACTACAAAGAGTAGTCAGTGCCTTCCCATTCCCATCATAGCAAGACAGTATCATCATTTTATGCACACATACCCGCAGTACATTTTTTTCAAATTTATAAACATAGTTTCTTTTTTAAATGACTTTTAGAATTTTCATAAAGTAGTTTTGATAGGTTTAGAAATTCTAATGGCAGCAAACATTCCTGTTAGTAAGAAGCACTAAAATTGTGTATATGATCAAAGTCAAATAGTTACTGTTTGAAAACTTTTCTCCTTTTTGCTGTCAATGGTTTTTGTTGTCTCTATTTATATTTCAGAGATGCCAACGCAATATTTAGAGGAAACTCCCTGGCTACCCAGTGTCTGACTGAGATGATGAAGATAGTGGGAGGGCACTACCTGAAAGTCACCTTGAAGCCTGTTCTAGACGAGGTACAGTGTATACCTGGTCACCAGAGTCTGTGACCAGATAGAGCAGCTGCTCTCAACTTGTGCTCTCAAAAACCTCTTTCACAGGAGTCATCTGAGGCTGTCTGCATGTCAGTTATCTACATTATGACTTGTAACAATAGCAAAATTACAGGTTTGAAGTAGCAACAAAAGTAACCTTCTGCTTGGGGGTCACCACACTGTGAGGAGCTGTAGTAAAGGGTCCCGGCATTAGGAAGGCTGAGAGCCACTGCTGTAGAGCTTCTCCTTCAAGAAGTAATGTGTTAATTAGAAGGCTCTGTCTATTCATGGGCTACTGGAGGAATAGGTGTAGATACTCTATAAGTAAATTACTGTGCTCTCTGTGGATTCTTTTTTTTTTTTTTTTTAATTTTTATTTATTTATTATATGTAAGTACACTGTAGCTGTCTTCAGACACCCCACAAGAGGGTATCAGATATCATTACAGATGGTTGTGAGCCACCATGTGGTTGCTGGGATTTGAACTCAGGACCTCTGGAAGAGCAGTCAGTGCTCTTAACCACTGAGCCATCTCACCAGCCCCCTCTCTGTGGATTCTTACTCACAAGGCACATTGATCTACATTATTGTTTGTTATATACTTATTTTACTAGGATTTTGTTACAGTTCTTTGGAAAATTGTCTATACTGTATTAAGTTATCTTCAGGTGGGAGCTTTAAACTTTGTTAGATTTGTTTTTTATATCAGAAGAAGAATAATTATTTTCATGTTGTTAAATTACCTAGGAAAGAAGAGTAACTGAAAAATACTTGTATATTCCAGATATGTGAATCCTCGAAATCCTGTGAAATAGATCCTGTTAAGTTGAAAGAGGGAGATAATGTAGAGAATAATAAGGTATGATTACATAGTGTAGTTTATAACCACATTAATTTTTGATCTTAATATTATACATGCCTCCCATAAATGGTTTATTTTCTGTGTATTTTGCCTGCATGTATGTCAGTGTGCCGTATGTGTGCCTAGTACCTGTGGAAGTCAGAAGAGGGCATTGTATCATTGTATCATCTGGGAATAGAGTTAGAGGTGGTTGTAAACCATCATGTGAGTGCTAAAATCAAACCCAGGTCCTCTGCAAGCACATAAATGCTCTTAACCTCTTAGCCATCGCTACCCTCCAGCATGTACTCTTAAACTTTAATAATGCCATGTGTCTGGAAACAGTGCTATTTATTCTTTACATTAGTCTTTACTTTCCATGGCATTTCATAGTACTGATTTTAGCTTATTTTTATTCTTAAAACTTTTAATTTAGACTTTTAAATTATATCTATGTGTTTGGAGGTATGTGTATGGATATATGCACGTGAATGCAGGTGCCACCAGAGGCCTCAAGAGAACAGTGAATCTTCAGGAGCTGGAGTTACAGGCACTTGTGGGTGCTGGGAACTGAACTGTGGTTCTCTGGAAGCTAATCTTTTGTTAGCATATATTAATTACAGATAACATCATGATTTTCATACAGGTATTTTGGTCATGTTAACCCCTTTTATCTTTTTTTGTCCCCTTCCTACTGAATTCTTTGCTCTTCCCACCCAGTCCTCCCCTGTGACTTTTCTTTCTTCCTTCCTTGTTTGTTTTTCAAGACAGGGTTTCTTTGTCTAGCTCTGGCTATCCTAGAACTCGCTGTATAGGGATGGCCTTTGAACTCACAAAAATCCACCTGCCTCTGCTTCCAGAATGCTGGGATCAAAGGTGTGTGCCACCACTGCCCAGCTCTCTTTTATTTTATAATTGTGGCTATGTGCATGTGAAAGAGCAGGTGCCAATGGATCCAGAGCCTTTGAATTCCTTTGAACTGGAGTTGTAGATAGAGATGAGCTGCCTGACATGGGTGCTGGGAACTTCAGTGCTTCTGTTTAAGGACTTGTGTTCTTAGATGCCTCTCTAGCTACCTGCCTTTTTATTCCTTTTCTTACATATATGTTTTAATTATTGACCCTTCTGCTTTTCTACGCCATCATGGTACATGCATGTGCACACTCATGTATTTTTGTAAGTTTACTTAGGGACAAGAATCAAGTGGTTAATTATAATAGCATAGATAACTTACCAATAGTTACACCACAAAAAGTGTTTCTCCCTTTCCCAACAACCCCTGGTTGCCTGTCAATTCTCAAGGACAGGTAGGGACTTATAAGCCCTTTCCTACTCTGTGAGAAACTGTCATGGACCCAATTTTCTATAGGACTTATTCTGGTGATCATAGCTACTGAGAATTCAAGAGTGCAGTGGCCATGTGGTGCTTAAAAGACTGTTAGGGAGCAGTCACTCTCTTCTCCTAGATTCTTTTGTCCACTCTTTAGTGATGTTCCTGAATCTTGAGGAAGGCCCATTTAGGGCTAAGCACCCACTGCAAAAAGATGCTTCTCTGACCAAAGCCAACAGCCTTACTAATCTGTGGGCAATTTGATAGGCATATCCATTTAGCAAATCAGAGCAGGAGCCTCCCCACTACACCGCTACTCTTACTCCCAGCTATGGGCTTTTGACTGAGTTAGGTGAGATTCTCTCTTGTGAAGCAGGCATCAGATCCAAATCAGAAACTGCTTGTTTTATCTCCAAAACAATAGCGCCCATTGCCTGGCAGGTCAGTAGTCAGAATACAGGGTTGCAGCTGAGCAAATTCTTAATAACAGTTCTCCCTTAGCGGCCTACATTACATCATCTAACACTATGAAATCTGACTAGCAAGGAGAATATTTCTAGACTAGAGCACATGTCTTCAGCAGTAGGGTCTTATCATTTAGGTCTAGTGAGCAACCCACAGTATTGGAAATAGCCTATAATAATAGTGGATTTAAACTGCAACTAGTTGCAATCTCCGTTTTGACTATTCCTTTCAGGTTAGACTCATTAGACTAAGTGACACAGTGATTTTAGTTGCCTCTGAGGAATCTATATGTATGTTGGAGTCACAAGTCTTCACTGCAGTGTTAACTGTCACTGTGTACTAATGCTGCCTATCATGAATTATTTCCCTGGTTTCCTTTTTATTGTCTTGTTTGTGGAAATTACTCATATATTCATTCACTTGTCTAGAAAGTCTGAATTTAACTTAATAAATTAAGCCAGAGTATTGATTGGCCTTTTAACTGAGTTGGGACTAGAAGCAGCACTTCAGGAGACTAGATTGTCATCTTCTAATAAATCTCATACCCACTACTTGTTTTCATGAAGATATTGAAGATGTGTGACAATCAAAATCTTAGTGTTTACTTTGTTAAAACCTGCAGGAGAATCTGTACTACTATGTGGACAAAGTGTTCAATACGATTGTAGGATCAAGTGTGAGCTGCCCCACTGTGATGTGTGATATTTTTTATTCTCTGAGGCAAATGGCTGCTAAGAGATTTCCTAGTAAGTGCCTTGTTCTATTTAATCGCATTTTCTTTTTTATTTTTTTTTCTCCATGCTGTTTATTTGGTTTGTATGAAATATTTGTGCATAGGTACAATCTTCTAAGTTTTTCAAAATGGTGCTAGCTTCTTAGTGAGACTTAATGATTTATTTCCCTATAGTCTCAAAACATGCATTTTACTTTATTTTAATATAATGGCAACTATATAAAGAGCAAATCAAAATCATTAGTTTTGAGAAGGAAAAGTTTGCATCTGTAAATTTTGTATACTATGTAAGTAAACCTTCATGTGTCATATAGTTAACAGATTGCGGAATAAACAGGAAAACCTTTGTGTACCAGCTGTTTTTTCCAGTTGCAGATTTTCAAACAGTAGTAATCATTAGTTTTATACAATTGACTAGATTTGACAGCTTGGGAATACTAAGATGTCTGTGGTGAGGTACCTTTTCAGAAAAAGTCTTTGGCTTTACAAATACTTGCCTCAACATACAAAGGATTTTTAGGAATCATTGTGCTTCAGTTTTGCAAAATTAGCTATATTAACATTTTGCTTGGAAAGGCTTTGTAAAGTTATGAAGTCTACTTCATTATTGGTAGTACTTGGAAATACTCAAATTTTAGTTCATTTCTGTTACATAAATAAATTTACCAAAGCATTATTGATCTGCCCATAACAGAGGGGAGCATAAACAAGGCAGCTAGTTAGAAATAACCAGGCTTATCTATCTGCATAAAACTGTAAATAACTCTTGGCCATCCAAAGAGATTTTGTTATTTCATTATGTTTGCATTTATCTGTCCCTCTATTTACCCAATACTAACTTCTACATGAATTCAGGTTTTGGTCTCTTGGCTAATTAAATAAAGAGATAAAACATCTAATCTTCATAATCAATAGAGGAAGCAGAGACTTGATTTTTGCATACATAAAGATGAAGTGGCAATTAGATTCTGTCTTTAAATAGTGACCAAGATCATAACCATGTTGCCTGCTTGCTAGTCTGTTTTTATCTTTTACTCCTACCTTTACCATTAACAAAGCCATTACTCATTGAGTAGCTAGTGAAACTGAGGTCTCAGTTGTTCTTACTACCTGGAGTCCTACCCTGCTAGCAGGGCAAGCAGTCATAACGATGGACAGCTTGGCAGTCTACCCTACTGAGTGATTTGTAAAAGCTAAACCCCAAGCCAAATCCAGAGATTCTTTCCCTCACCACCCACTTCTCCAGCATCTGGTTGTTGGGTTAGTTGTTGACTCCAGTCTGAAACCAATCCTAACAAGGAGCGATCAGTGCTATACGTAGCCTTTAGTTCATGTGAAATATTGGTAGCTTTAAAAGTAATGTCTCTACCTAATTGCTTTTAGTCTTTAAGTTGTTGGTTTTTCTTTTTGTGACAAGTACATGAGAGAAACAACATAAAAGATAATTGTAGGTTCATAGTCTCAGAAGCTTCAGTCCAACACCCACAGGATCCATTGCTTTAGTCAGACCTGAGGCAAGGCAGAATACTTGTGATGGCATCTTGTAGCAGAGGAGGCTGCTTGTCTCATGGCTGTGAGGAGACAGAGAGGGAAGGAGAGGGATGAACCAGGGCCAAAACACACCCTTCAAAGACATACCCAAAGCACCCTGCTTCCTCTAGTAAGCCTTCACTTTCCACAGCCCCACCCCTCATACAGCAGTCCATTGCAACTGGAATCCATCAGTGTAGAAAGCATTGATCATGGTCTAATCATCTTTAGAACCATTCTTACAGAAATACTCCAAATGGTGGCTTGCTAGTCTCGTAGGCACTTTTCACCTAATGAACGGATAATCAAGACTAACCATAGTATAGCCTTAGACACCGTGAAGAGTTTTAGGGGGAATTTGAAACAAAAATACAAAACTGAAAGCTATTTTTTGGTATTCAGTGTTGCCACTAGCTAGTGCTAGATAATGCTTTAATATTACTAATTTTTAATATAATTTCAAGAATATTTTATATCAAGAAGCTATTTTTCAAATTTAAAATGTTTCTTTAAAATCAGCGACTTTGCTTTCCATTTGTTATTGTCAGTTGCAGCGTATTCTCTTAGTTCAGCCACAGTTGGTATCATTCCACAACTCAAGATTTACTTTACAAGTTATTTCCTTTCCTACGTAGTTTACATGATTTTTTTTTTTTTTTTGCTTTATCATCTTTGGTTTTTAATTCGTGTTTTTGCATGACGTTTCCCCATTTTGTCCCTGCAGATAACCCTCATGTTCAGTACTCTGCAGTGAGCAGCTTTGTGTTTCTTCGTTTCTTTGCTGTAGCGATACTCTCACCTCATGCTTTTCATTTGCGACCTCATTATCCAGTAAGTGTTTGCTCCTCTCAAAGCTTTACTCCATTTTTATTTATTTTTAGTAAAATGAAGAAAAAATGTGCCACTTTCATTTTGCTGTGCTAAGACATTTCACAATTGATAAAATGCTGATAAGTTGAAGTCTGCTGGTAAGCAGAAGGGAACGCGCATCAAGGCTTCTCTGCTGTTACACAAGGGCTGTGGGTTCTTACTTACATTGCTTAGATCGTGGTCTAATCATCTCTAGAAACATTCTTACAGAAATGCTTCAAATGGTGGTTTGGAGTACCACCATTGGTACTTGGTGGATCCTTGGCTGGTAGGCGTGGCTTGGGCTGGTTGTTAACAGACCCTTTCCTGGTTTATTACAGCAGTTTATTTTTTTTTATTTTTATATTTTGAGGCAGAATCTTATTATATAGCCCAGAGGGACCCTAACTCACAACAGCCTTCCTGCTTCGGCCTCCAGAGTACAGGAGTACAGGCCTAACTACCACAGCCCGTTTATGGTGGATTAATCATGGCAGTATTTTAAGATCTCAGAAATTTGAAGGAAAATGAAGAAGTTTATTTCAAAAGTATAAAGGAACCTAACTTACTTGGTATCTTCATACTTTTGCTTTCTGTTCACCCAAATTATATCAAAATAGGAGATTTAAAATGAAGTTCTATTAGTTACCTAAATCTAAATCTGCTTTGAATATATATCTCTTAATATTTTGAGGTTTCTTTTTTCTCTTAACCTATTTCTGGTCCTTCTTCATACAGCATATTTTAATCACTCTTCAGTCTTTCTCTGTTCTAAATATTTCATATACACTCGTGATGCTTTTAGCTGCTGATTTGTATAACAGAATGATAAGAAACATTTAGTGATGACTTTGTTCTAAGCTTTGCTTTAATCACTTTCTGTGTTTAACTCACTTAGGTCTTCCTAGTCACTGTAGGAGTAAATTATTTTATTAGCCCCATGTGCAGGTAAGGAAATCATCATGCAATACTTTCTCTAGGCTCACATAACTAAGGCATTATAATTGGATTCTACACAACTTGTACTGGATTCAAATGGGACTAGTTCAATCTCCACAGTCTATAAGCAGACTGGTGTTAAATCTTACAGCAACCGCTGTCATAGTGCTCAGTACTGGAGGGAGACACATGCAGTCTTACTTGACATTCCCTACCTTAATGCCCTAATGGTTATCAAGTAATGCAGTGTAGGGAAGACTTTGCAGCAAAACTGGGTTCTGAATGGCCACTTCTCCTCTGGATAGCCTTACAGTGTTAGCTGTGAGCCATGCTGCAATGGCAGAAGGTAGATGTTCTGTGTAGCTTGTATCCTTTTGTTCATGGAGACTCCTTCTGTGGCTGTGTTAACTAAAGCTGTAATGACCTAGGGCAGTGAGAGCTTGCCAGCAACATTGTGTACATAAACAGAACTCCCACCTCTGAACTTGTGACTCTGCCTTGTATTCAGACTTGGAATTCCTAGATGGAATTTGAATAGAATCCCTCCAACCACAAACACTTTTAGGTTACTTTTCAGGTAACTTTATTATTTTTTATAGTTTTTCCATCATTTCTTTTGGTCCTTTTTGTTGTTGTTTGCCCTCATCCCCATCACCTCAGCATCTCCATCAGGTCTTTAACCATAACCCTCACTCATTTTAAAGAAATTTTGAAGTAGTGGGAATAGAGAAAACATAACATTATTTGGCATTGGTGCTGTAGGGATGAGCATAGCTGCTTTCTATTAAGCTATAACTATTGCATCAATTTAAAGCTAGCATGTGATTAGTCCGAAGTAAAAAGTATGAGTAAACACTGCTGTACAAGCTGAAACTCTCAGAGACTGAGAGGACGTCGTCAGGTACTAAAAGTTACAGGAGCAGACTTGAGCAAATGCTACTGAATTTTACATTTAGGAATTCTTTTAATTTTGAGAAACTAATTATAGAAGATATTTAAAGTAGACAAGAAAGAGTAAAGAACAGGTAGCTAAATAGTCATAGCAAGGACTCCAGATCTGAGCCATGCTTGCTAACAGACAAAGTCAAGGAGAGAGGTGTACATATACATGTGTAAAAACTGTTTTTCAAAACATTAGTTCTTAAAAAATGGAGGCATGGGCTGGAGAGATGGCTCAGTGGTTAAAAGCATTAACTGCTCTTTCCAGAGGCCCTGAGTTCAATTCCCAGCAACTACATGGTGGCTCACAACCATCGGCAATGGGATCCGATGCCTTCTTATGGTGTGTCTGAGAACAGGAACAGTACTCACATTAAATCTTTAAAAAAAAAGGAGGAGCTGGATTGATGGCCCAGCAATACTGCTGTCTCAAAGGACCCAAATTCAATTCCCAGCACCAATGTCAGGCAGCTCACAACCACCAGTAACACCCACTCTAGAGGATCTAACCCTTCTTCTGAACTCTGGGCACCTGTAACCTTGTGTGCACGTGCCTACACATAGTTACACATATGCACATAGAAAATAAATCTTCAAAAAATAAAATTTAAAAATATAAATAATGAAATGGACTGAGGGCTAGGACTAGAGCTCCGTGTTCAGGCGTTTTACCAAGCATCTGTGAGGCCTGCAACCAGTCCCCAGTACCATAAGAAAGAACAGGAGCGGACCTTCACTTGAGTCTCCTTGGTAATGGTTGTGGGTTTTAGTTTAGTACAGATTATGTGAACATTGATTTGGTAAAGCACTGTTGAGATCTTCATAAAGGTAAACGACTAGACGATTCTTATATATTCCTCATTCTTTCCTTGATAATCCCTTTGAAGGCCCTCCCAGTGGAGACGTCTAGACCCCATTAGTTTGTTTTATGTCTGTTGTGTACACCTGTAACACCCTGTGCACTCTCTGTCATGGTATGTTACATTCTGATTAGTAACATCTGTGTATAACAGATCTCTGCACACAGACTGCCAGGATCTCTGGAACAAAGCGGGGCCTTTTCCAGATATGTGTATCCAAAGCATATGGTAGTTTCTAAGACAGTCAGATGCTCAGTTTAATTAACAAAAATGATAGTTGAGAGAAGGAACTCATCAAGGGAGTCTTTTCTTAATGGAGAAACAGATCCAAGGTTTAAATATAGGGGAAGAGGCAAGCAAATAAAAAGAGGGCGTTGCTGCCTCCAGGTCAGAATCCTAGAGGATGCTAAGGAAAGGTATGAGATTAGCAACTGCTCTTTTGAAAGAGCATACCTGTGACATTGTGTTTGTTTGTTTGTTTGTTTGTTTGTTTTTTGTAAACCAAAGACAGTCAAATGGCACCAATTTCATGAGTCAGTGTAAGAAAAAAGAAAAGTTTAACATTTCGGTTGACTTTAATAATTGTTAGATAGTGTTTGCTGAGTTGTGTACTGGAAGCCAGGTGATGATGGTCCTGGGTATACAGTAAAGGGAAATTATTACAGTTTGCAAGTAGATAGTAGCAGGGATTCAGACCAGCGGAATGACATGGCTGTACAACAGTAGCCACAGTTATATGGGTCTAAGCCAGCCGGTGGTGGCCTGAAACTGAATAAAATGAGCTCTGTTCCCTTTTGCTAGTTCAAGAAAAAAATAACCTAAAACACTGAATTTTAAAACCAAGTTTAAGCCAAGCAGTGGTGGCACACGCCTTTAATTTCAGCACTCAGGAGGCAAAGGCAGGCAGATCTCTGGGTTCAGGGACAGCCTGGTCTACAGAAAGAGTTCCAGGATAGCCAGGGCGACACCAAAAAAATGGAGAAGTCTTGTGAAATTCAATTCAAACTTAATGTTACCAGAACTTTTAAAGAATGTCTCTTCCTTCACAGGTAGAACTGTAGTAGGGTCTTCTTACAGATAGGATGGAGTCCTGGAGGCTCCACCTGAAATCACTTTTAGATAACCATAATTTATAACTTTTGCCAGATATATTGTAATGATCATATATCAGACATTCCTTCTCCAGATTTCTTCATTTCTTGGACATTTCTTCTCCACTGTTTTCAATGTGAGATACTGAAAACTAAAACTTATATTAACTATATTTTCCTGGATATGTTTTTTTATAATACTGTTTACTGTAGTAGGATAGTTTGTTACGTAGAAATGTGGATCAATAAGACTCGTGAGAGAACTGTGTTCTGACCATTTTATTTACATGTACTTTAATGTAAGTTATACTACTGTCAGGTAGACAGACCTGAAAGATACCATGGTTAACAGACCAAGCGTTACCTTCTGATAAGAGCCTCTATGAGTGGTGACTTCCTTTCCTGGTCTGAATGTGTATTCTCCCTCCACCCCTATGGTGGAAACAGTTGATTGCAGAAGTCTTACGTGTTATTTGAATATGCTTAGAAGTAGACTGAGCACAGAAAATTGGAAACACTGCTAAGGTAGAAAAAAGTAGATATCTCTGATATTCCAAAAGTAAATAAAATGTGTAGTGTGATCCAGTCTTTAGACTACACAAAGCCGTTAGATACAGTTGATGACATTATGTCTCTCAGAGGGAACAAATCATTAAGTCTTTAGTCTCTGTCTTTTTTAATGGTGCTGAGAATGGAATTTAAGGCTTCATGCCTTCTCGGCAAGCCCCCCGCCCCGAGATGTCCCCAGCCCTCTTTTTACTCTTTATACCGAGACAAGGCAATTAGGTTGCCTGGACTGGATTTTCTCTGTAGCTTTAACAGACCTGAGTTTGCAGTCTTTCTGTCTGAGGCACCCAAGACTTGAGATCACAGGCCTTCACCACCAGCTTCTTTCATTGTCTCCTAACCCGCGTGGTAGAAGTTCTCCTAGGCTTCGCTGCATCCTAACTATCTTTGTTTGAATCAACATTTTTAGCCACTATTTTAGAGCCATATACCCCATTCACTCGATTCTGCTTTTTATATAAACTCTACTTCTTGAAAAATTAACAAGAACTTTGGTCATTTTTACATTTTCTAGGATACACAGACAGTTAGGACATTAACTCTCATCTCAAAAACCATTCAGATTATTGGAAACTGGGGATGTCAATCCAGAAGAAAGGTGAGTTTATAACTGTTTCCTACTTTGCATACTTAACCCTTTTCACGTACCTCCTTCCATAGTAAAAATAAAACAAGAGAATACATATTTAGATGCATTAATCGTCTTTTAGTGGGTGTTCTACTGTAGTCACCTTTTCAAGGAGACAGTGGTACTTAACCTGATATACCCACAGTAGGAAAATAACTAGGAAGAAAAGACACAGGCACAGTCGAGCTCTGTGACATAGCCACCTAACAGCTTTGGAAGAAGTTGTCAGCTCCAGGATGAATGATTCATGGAAATATGGGACTAGCTTTATCCTTAACTTCAAAATACAGGCCCATCCTTGTCTAGTGCTCTACCTCAGAGCTTCATAAACTTCTCACTCATGAAGCCTTTTACTCAAGAAACTTTTATGCAACCTTAGGTATAAAAATCAAACATTGACTAATAATGACTTATTCTAGCATTTTGAAATGCCCAGCCCCCAGTGCTGAGGAGTTTTTTTTCTTCCATTTGTTTTTGCAACTGTTATCTTGGGCAACTGCTATCTAGTTTAAGATCTAGGAGGAAAAAGATCAAACAGTGATTACCAGTTCAAAGCTGTATCCAGGCTCTGAGGGACCTTCATTGCTCCTCAGTCTGTCTCTCAGCAAGAATGTTCATCAAAGAAGGGATAAGAGCCAGGCTCTGACTAATAAAGTAACTGCGGGTCACTGACTCTTCTTTGCTGGCACCCTGCATCTCGCCCAGCATGAGGTATCTTTGGTTATCAGCAGCTGGAATCAACAGAATGTGAACCAAGCCTGATCATGTTCTGGGAGAGGCTGAGCGTGATATACCATGTGCTGTGTGGGAAAGACTAAAAACCATGAGTATGTGGTAGCCATGATCCTGGAACATTCTGAGTTCACTGCCTTACTGGTATGTCACTCAGTGGAATGCACTCTAGGAGTGCTCTAGAACAAGATCATGAAGATGGATGTGAATTTCCCAGCCTGCTTGCTGCCCCACATGGAGAAGAGTTGAGGAAGCTCCATTGTCCTCTATATGTGCCACTACCAAATCTGGGCCTACAACACAGATGAGGCAGCACTCTTGGCCCTCTGGCTGTAGACCTGGCTCCTTAAGGCACCCAAGTGAACTGCCATGTGTAATTAAGACTGATTAGCCAAGAGGAAAAACACCACTATACTTACTACCTGGCATGAATGAAATCTGCAGATCTTAGGGGTTTGGGAAGCCAGAGTATATAGGGATTGTCCTGTGCTTTCCAGGAGTTGGGTCTATCAGTGGGGACAACAGCGTAGTGGCCAGCTACTTCCCTACTCTGTGAAGAAAGTAGACTTAAGGTCATCTGGGAAATCAAAGGAGTTGGTAAGGAAGTTGGAAACTAGAAGACTTAAGAGTAAGTACTTTGCCTTGCACAGCTTGGTCCTTAACCTGACTAGGACACCACAGGCATGAAGAGCCAACAAGCACAAAGAGAAGCTAGGACTGGGTGACCTGAGCTTGCTGTCATCTACTAACTAACCTGTAAATTCGGTGCCTTTATATGTATAACAAGAGGGGTTAGGTGTCTTAGTGGGAAGTCTCTGTAGGGAGCAGTCTCAGGCAGTAAGCTTCCTGGAGAAGGAAGTTGTATTTGCTAGTTTCTGGTCCCAGTAAATGGTAGGTTTTGCCATTTACAGGAGTCTGAGGCAGCTAGAGTCCTTGACAGGTCTGTGCTCTTGTCAGTAGTCCACATTTACCCTGTGTTTCCTCTAATCCTCACACTAGAGTGTTGTAAGTTCCAGGTTCTGTAGGGAAATTTTATAAAGAAAGGTGTTCACAATTTTTCATTTGTGATAAACACATTCCTGTTTGGCTAGAGGGAGCAGCCCTGTGACCTGGAGGTCTCACCCTTACATTATAGCCTTCCCTTATCACTGTCCCTCGAGGCTGAGGATGTTTATCTCTCCCTGCCTGCCTTCTTCCTTTCCCTTGAAACTGGAAATTGAAGGGCTGGGCTGTAGCTCAGTGGTAGAACTCTAACCTTTTAGAAATCAGACCCTAGGTTCAGTCTCCACTACTATCATTTTTAAAACAAAAAAGAAACTAGACTTTGGGCTGCATAGTTTCCATCTGCCTGTCCAGATCTACATCCCCGGTTTACTCTGTGCCTCAGGAGAGCTCTGGCTTCTGGGAGGCCCCTGTTTTGGAATCACAGCTGCTCTTGTCAGGAGACCCCAGGTAGATTTGCATTTCTGACTTGGCTCTTTAGGTCTTTGAGTAATGGTGGCTGTATACCTTATCATATGCTAGTTAAACCTATCTACTCATTTGTTAAATACTTTTTAAATTTTCTATTAAAATTTTCATTTGTGCCATATAATAATTATACAAATTTATGTATGCAATATGTTTTGATACATATTTACATTGTATATTGGTCAGACATTTTAAACTATTCTTTGTATATATAATCTTACCACTTATTAAAGACAAAATACAAATTTGCAGACTAATGAGATGGATATACTTGTTTGTGTTTACATAAATAAAAACTAGCTGAGTATTTAGAGTTGAGTATATAGAGCATCTTCAGCGTTTATCAGAGTTGATTGTATTTTGATTTTATAATATTCAGTTTGCATAAACACATAGTACAAAATGGCAGAAGTATATTTAAGGCCATTTTTTAAATTGTTGGAAATTTTGTCCTAATCTCAAGCCCGAATTTACTTAGTGGTTTTTTTTTTGGGTTTTGGTTGGTTGGTTTGGGGATTTGTTTGTTTGTTTGTTTAGTGAAACCTAAGTCAGCAACATGAGCAATTGAAGTCGAACACTCTAATCAAATCCAGAACTACTAACTGATGCATGCTGACTAATGATGTAGGCGAATGCTGGTTTTGTTTCTGTAATGAAACAATTATGTTTTTGTTAGAGCAGAAGCCTTCATGTCTAATAAAGATAGCGCCATTCCTAACATACAGCAGCCCCGTGCTTTGTGCTGAGGTCGGCAGCAGTGACTGGTGGTGCGTGATATATTGGCATGCAGAATGAAAAGCATACGTGTGGTTGGATGAGGTACCATTGCAGCACAGATGCACCAGAAATTCCTAGGAACCATGACATGTTTGATTTTGAACTAGTTCTTGTTGTTTGTGCCTTCAGAAGCCTTTACTGTTGACACATTTCTCATGACCACATGTGGAGTCACAACTAATAGTTTAAGAACTTTTCGTATTTTTCGTATTTAACATACACAAATCCTGTGTTTGTTTTCTCCTAGTCACGGTTCAAAAAGTCAGTCATGTGTGAATTTCTCAAAATGTTTCAAGAAGAAAAATATTTTACAGACGTGAAAAAGGTATGGTTCTTTCTTGTCATCTAGTTTAAAGGAATTAACATCTCTTATTATTCCAAAGAGTCAGTTTCCAACTTTAAAAAAAAAAAATCATGTTGAAATTGTCAGTCAAGAAGTCTTTTTCCAGTTGGGGAGATGGCTCAGATTTAGAGCACTGACTGCTCTTACAGAGCAGTTCCCAGCAACCACATGGTGCCTCACAAGCATCTGTAATGAGATCTGGCGCCCTCTTCTGGCATCCAGGCATATATGCTGGCAGAACATAAGTAAATGTTTTTTTTTTAAGTCTTTTTCTTCCAGTTCTACAAACAAAGCGGTGAGATAAGCAAATCTTAACAGTAAGTGCTGTTGTCATCTTAACTATATAAATACAGATTTCTATGCAACACTATTGACATTTAGGGATAGGTAGTTCTTGATTTTACATTGTAGAATATTTGGCAACATCCATGAATTAAATGCCAATAGCATATCCCCAATTTTGAAGACCAGAAATGCTTTTAGCTATTACTAAACAGATGTCCCCTGGAGGATGGAATTCTCTTTTGTTAGGAACCTTTGGTCTAAGACTAAAGCCTAATAGAGCCTGGTATGTAGTAGAGTGGGTACTCAATTGCCATAATAAACAAGATGGCTCAGCAGGTAAAGGCACCTCTTACAGAGCCTGATGGCCTGAGTTTGATTGCTGGGGTCACATGATTGGAAGGAGGGTACCAACTCCCATAAGTTGTCCTCTAACCTCCATATGTGTCCTGAGACACTCACATTCCCACACACATCCACATAAAATCAGAAAAATGTAAAACAGTGTTTTCAATATATTGAGTATATATGGTAGTAACTGGAGAAAAATAAGTGAAAATAAAATTGTATACATGCCTATAGCATATAGCATGCTAATATAAGGCCTACAATATGTAAAATGGAGTGTGATTAAAAACTGAGTTTTTTAAGTTTTTAACTTTTTGGTCTTTGACTCGTTAGTCATCCACATAAAATACAGTATTATAACCCTGAGAAACTTGGAACGAAAAAATATCTTAGGATATAGCTAAACTAAACTTGAAGAAAGTACTCTGTGTCTTCGTTATCACAATCCTAACTCAGTGAACCGAGTTAGTCTTTAAAGCCTGTATAGTTTCTATACATGGTGTAGCTGTTCATGGCCAAGAACATTTTTACTGACATTTAGACTGGTGACATACTTTCTCAGGGACTCCATGAGAGAAGATGCTCCTATCAGATAGGGTTGGGTTTGGTTTGGTTTTGTTTTTACAGAGTCTCAGTATATAGCCTTGGCTATCCTAGTTCTTAGTATATAAACCAGGCTGGCATCACTCACAGATAACCACCTGCCTCTACCTCCTAAGTGCTGAGATTAAAGGTGTGTACCACTATGCTGAACCTAGATTTTTCTTTTTTAAGTAATTGTTGAAAGCATTTGAGAAAATGTAAAACTATGCTTTTAATTTGTAAAATAAAATTCCACGTTTTGTATACTCACAAATAGATTCTAACCATAATGCATTTACCGTCTCATGTATATATGTAGTCCTGAGGTAGCATAAGATAGTTTGCCCTAAAATCTTAATTATCTCTTTGTGTGTGTCCATGTGTCTTTCTGTCTGACTGTAGACCTTACATATCCTAGACTGTTCTGTTTAAGATTGAGCTCTGTCTCCAGCCTTTATAATAAGGAATTACTATTGTCTGTGTAACTCAGTTTCTCATTCATACTGGCATTTATACTAGTGACTTTAAGTGACTTGTAACTAAATCATATGCTGTTGCCCACACAGTAAGGGAAGGTAGCCAGAAGAATTCTGTATAGAGGGTGATTATACAGTTTGATGACAGAACCACAACACTGAACAATTAGAGATGATTATTTATGGCTTTAAGTAGAGTGAACCTGAGCCAACTTGTTACCTACAGTTACTTTATTTTCATCTTAGTGTTTTCTTACATTTCACATCGCACATCTGTTTTTATCTTATACTTCTTCATATAATGCTAAGAAGTGAGATATTCAAGTAACCATTAACTCCATGGGTGGATGGTCCATCTATTAGAACTACAGATGAGACAGGATACTTTGTTAATGTTGTCCCTGGATACTTGAACCTGCATCATCCACAGGACAAAAGGGATTCTGTTCTTGTTTGTTCGCTTACTTAGCAAACTGGAAGGAACACATTGGGAAGCCTCTTGAGTGGGTGCTCTGGTGGGTGAATCACAGCATTCTTAGGCTCGAGTTGCTATGCCTTCAGTCCTGTAGAGGAAGCACCAGTCCCTCGATGTTCTTCACACAAAACTATGCTTGTGTTGTTTCTATCCTAAAACACTAAACAAAAATAAAGTTAGAAACAAAAGAGAAGAAAGCAGTGAAGCCAGACAACAGGGATCATAATGTCTCACGGATACGCAAATGGATAGTTGATTTAGAGGCAAAATAGGATTCCTCTCTAAGAGCAAGAGCTGCTTTTTGGACTGCTAAACTTCCCCTTTCCATGAAGAGGCGTCCACATGCTGGGGAGCCCTTGACTACTCCAGGCTACATACTCATGAAGCTTGATGCTTTTCCCTGAGTGACTCCTGTTTCTAACAATGGATATTACAGATTTTCTTGAGCCACATCCTTATATTCTTCATAGAAAGTTTGTAAATACTTACATTTGGTTTTAGGTTATCTCATTTGTCGAGGTCATCAGTTCTAGATAATAGAAATTAACAAGTTATTTTCTGTGAATAGCCAACAAATAGTAGGATTTATTGGTCACATAAGACCACTTTCATTTTTGTTTTTTCTCATAACCCTGGTTCTTACAAAAACAGACTGCAGGTCAAATTTGGCTCAGTCCATAGTTTTGTGTTACAGCCTATCAGAAACATTCATGGTCCTGTTTGTAAAAATCTCTGGACCCAGGAATTTTCAAAATTCAATTTTTCAGAGTTTCAAAAAGTAATGGGAACAAGTTATATTAAACAGCCCCTTTGGTTCCATCCAGCAGCCACACACCAATGTCATTTGTCATGTGGAAAATACACTGTAAGATAATACATGAGAGCCATCTGCCAGTGTTTGCTGCAAATCAAAGATGAAAGTTTTAAAAGGGAAGAAAAATAAATGCTTTGAGCCAGATGGTGGCAGCACATGCCTTTAATCCCAGCACTTGTGATACAGAGGAGGGTAGATCTCTGTGAACTTGAGGCCAGTCTGGACTGCAGAGTGAGTTTTAGGGCAGCCAAGGTACAAACAATATTGATAAGGGCTAGATGTGGTGGTATATGCCTGTTATCTTAGCACTGAGACAGCTGAGACAGAAAGATTACAGTGTGCTTGAGTCTAGCCACTGAAATAGTGAGGCATTGTCTCAAATTATAGCTAAGGATTATAGATTGAGTTATTTCTGTAGGGAAATCCATTCAGAATTTGAGTAAAAAACAACTTTTTAGAATACCTTTCATTTGTAAATTGGAAACTTTATATAACCACATGTATAATATTTCATAGATTACTGTAGGGTGAGCCTCTTTGATCCAAGATGCTCTAAGATCTGAAATATTGCAATATTTAAAACTTCTTGAGTAGACATGATGTTACAATGAAAAATTACACACTTGATCTCACGTGATAGGTCACAAAGTGCAGGTATAGTAAAAAACAAAACTGTATAAAATTACTCGTAGGCTATGTATATGAATTTTTTTACATATAAGTGCAGTCCCCAAGATATCTGTATATGCAGTTGTTTCAGAATCCTAAATCTAAAGCACTTTGGTCCTGAGCAGGAGATTCTCAACCTGTGTTATATATAGTCTTTAGTAATGAGGAATTTCCTAATATAATCAGTGACATGCAAGATAAAACTTTTGTTTGTTTGTTTGTTTTTCAAGTCAGTTTCTCTGTGTAGCCTTGGCTGTCCTAGAACTCACTGTGTAGACAAGACTGCCTCAAACTCAGAGATACGCCTACCTCTGCCTCTGGAGTGCTGGGATTAAAGATGTGTGCTGCCACCACCACCTGCCAGATAAAACAATTTTTTGTAACATACCTTATTTACTCACATACTGTAATACTTCCCCATCTCCCCATTTAGTTCTTGGATGAAATTTCGTCTACGGAAAGTAAAGAGACCAGTGGTACGAGTGAGCCTGTGCACCTGAAAGAAGGGTAATTAATTAAATGAGTCATGAAAATTATAATTCACTGTAGACAGTAAGTACAAAGAGCATGGCTTTGAGAATGAAGAAACCTGAGTTTTCATTCTGTTCCAGAGCTTCCTAAGCTGCTTCAGTCAGGTAAATCACCCTCACTGCCCTGTCAGCTCTGTCTTAGACAGCACTCACTGACTACAGAGTCCCAGGCTGTGCTATACTTCGGAAATGGCTGTTTCCTTAACAAAGAGTGGTTGTTAGTAGCAGTAACGAGATGGAAGTAATTTACCTGGCCCTTTTTATTCGGTATAGCACAGTTCTAAAATGGCATCACTTAGAGGCTGGAGAGGTCCTCATGGTTAAGAAGGTAGAGGACCTGTGTTCCATTCCCAGCACCCATAGAGTGGCTCACAGCTGTCTGTAACTGCAGTTTCAAGGGATCTGCCACCCTCGTCTGCTTCCCACAGGCAATGCACACTGTGCATAGATGTTGTACAGGCTACACCATACCTAAAAGTAGAACTAAAGCAATCCTGCATTGATAGAAAGACTCCCCCCGAGTCTTCAGTGGAAGTCACTGCTGCACACTAGTAATCATGCAGGACTGCCAGTGGAACCTAGCAGTCAGTGTCAGCTCTTTGTTTCAGGTTAGTGGTTCTCACCTCTGAGGGTTAAATGCTTGCTTCTGTCTGTTATGTCGGCAGTGAGATGTATAAAAGAGCCCAAGGAAGAACCCGGATTGGAAAAAAGAACTTCAAGAAACGATGGTTCTGCTTGACAAGCAAAGAGCTCACCTACCACAAACAGCAAGGTAGAGTTGTGGTTATGCTTCGTTGTGGCTTTACTCTGCTGGTTCTTGGAGCTGCAGTGGACCATTGCACAGTAAATGGTTCAGAGTGTGTCTCACAGGGACACACAAGAACTAAACTGTTTATTTTATCGCATTGCGTAGTATATAATAAAACTATAACAAAAGCCTTGTATAAGTCAATTTGAGAACAAAACAACTGGACTTGGTAAGTAAGTCAGTATAACAATAAAAGCAGAAAAGTACAGACGTAACAGGTTAGCTAGCCACAAGCACTTAGCGTATCACAGTGCTCAGTAGGTTTTGAAGTTTCATGAAATTTGATGGAAAATACCAGCTAAGAGAGCTTCTCCTATGAATACCAAAACGATGACATAAAGACCTGACAGGGGACTATAAGAATATAGAGTGCTTCAGTGGAATTCCTGAATAGTAGAAGAATAACTGAGGAGAGAGACATTTTAAAGAGATGGGGTCTTCACTCGGAACTCTGGGCTTAAGCAGTCCTCTTGCATCAGTCTCCCAAATAGCAGGGACTACTTGCGTGTACTACTGTATCAACTAAGAGGGTGTGTGTGTGTGTGTGTGTGTGTGTGCGCGTGTGTGCGTGTGTGTGCGCGCGCAGTTTAACCAGAATGAATGACTATGCATGTATATATCCAAGTACATTAATAAGAAATTTTTACAGTGTGTTGGATATTTTAGGCACCACGTAGTTTATTACAGTATATAAATATGTAACTAAAGATCGATGGGTTTACCTTTGTTTTTAACTAAAGGTCGATAGGTTTACCTTTGTTTTTAAAGCTGTCTTTGAATGTTTCAGAATCCTAGTTTATATTGAGTTTTATATAAATATTCTCACCTATGGATACCATTTTTGTTTATAATGTTTAATAGAACAATTTAAGCCAGGTGTCTTAGTCAGGGTTTCTATTCCTGCACAAACATCATGACCAAGAAGCAATTGGGGAGGAAAGGGTTTATTCAGCTTACACTTCCACATTGCTGTTCATCACCAAAGGAGGACAGGAACTCAAGCAGGTCAGGAAGCAGGAGCTGATGCAGAGGCCACGGAGGGCTGGTACTTACTGGCTTGCTTCCCCAGGTTTGCTCAGCTTGCTTTCTTATAGAACCCAGAACTACCAGCCCAGGGATGGCACCACCCACAATGGGGCCCTCCCCGCTTGATCACTAATTGAGAAATGCCTTACAGCTGTATCTCATGAAGGCATTTCATCAAGGGAGGCTCCTTTCTCTGTGATAACTCCAGCTTGTGTCAAGTTGACACACAAAACCAGCCACTACACCAGGCATGGTGGTACATACTTTAATCCAGGCTCTAAGGGTTGGGGGGTTATAGGACAGAGACAGACAGATCTTCATGAGGTCAAAGCCAGCCTGTTCTACATTGTGAGTTCTTGAACAGCCCGGATTACATAGAGACTGCTTAAAGATAAATAAAATAAAAACAACCTAATAACAACATCAATAGTGCGGTTAAATAAAATTTAAGGTAAATTAGTCATCTTCTGTGAATAAACAAGTTATTTGTTTCTCAGTTAAAACACTGTCTAATTTAAGCCAGCATTCCAAAGTCTGTTGATTAGAAATCTCTTTAAGTCAGATGATAGTCATGGTGAATTTCCTGAGAATCCTACATTATATACAGACAGACATGGAGTTTGCATAGGAATTTCATGGACCTCATAGGCCTACAACCTACAGTTGTCACATTTAACCTTTTGTTGCTAAACGTAAATGTTGCTACCATGATGGTTTTTTTATAGAGCTGAGTGCTGACTTTAAATTACTATATTATTATTAGCTCCCGTTTAGAAAGCAGCGTCTCATGATCTGCTGGTGTCCCAGCTTCTCCATGTCTCACGCGCCTCATCTTGTATAGGACTCCTCAGAGGACATCACTGTAAACCTCAGACCAAGTGTCAACTCTTTGTGGAAGTAATTTTAAGTCTCTAGCCACTTAGCTGCCTATTTCATAGGAACATACAGCACACTGGTTATTACATTTCATATCTCTCTTCTCCTGCTCTTTAAGATCTTCAGTGGTAACAATCATGTTACTAGCATAAAAACATTTAGTAAATGCTCTTCAAAGAACGCCAGGGCCCCCATATCTGCTGTTGCCTGAATTACTTTAGTAACCACTGCTCTGGTTTTGGAAGCTTTAACCAAGTTTACTAGCAAAACCGTTACTAAGCCTACCTTTGTAATACTCTTGTGAGATTCGCTTAGCTATTGTGTGTTCTTGAGACCTGTTATATATAGGTACATACAGACAACTTATACAACTTTCATAAATATACACTCTCAGTGCGGTTAGGGTAACTTGATTTTTCCCTCCATGGTTCCTGACATGAAGCTCTCCAAAATTTTGTTTGCTGTTTTTCTTTAATAGCTAAAGAACCACATAAAATCATTTCAATTTATTTTCATCATAGTGTTCATCTCTAGGTAATATTTCTCTACCAGTCTTTTCAGAACTCAATACAAATTTCACTAGGAACCTGTTTTCTATTTATTGTTCTGTCTTAAACTATTAGAACAGTACCTGGCATATAGTAGACATTCAGTGTATATCTTTTAAAAATTATGTGTCACATCTGTTTGAATCACCTTAAATTTTACGCTTTGTACCAGGAAAGTGACTGAACAACTGTTTTGTATTAATGTCTTTATTTACAGCAAAAACAAAATCACAACTCTCCAAATACTGTTCCTTGTAGAAAAAAAAGTCACAGTATTAATCCTTTGAACAGTATAAAACAGAATGTTCCTAGCTTCTTATATTTCAGCCCTCACATCTATAAGAAAGGCTTGAGGAAGAAATAGAAACAAAGCTTTGACACTCTAAAAACACCATCACAAAATGACAGAAGTCAAACTGTATCTGTCATTAGCTCCTTCTATAACTAGATGAGGGCCAGATATCCCAGGCTGTACTGACATGCATCGTCCTAGAGGAGGCCCTTTAACAAACTCAAATCCCCTTGCCTATGTTTCAAAACCTGTAAAGGGTTAAGGATTCCCTGCTGGATACATTGTCTCCAGCATCTCCTAAGTAAACTTTGTAATATTTAGCTAGTAGCTGGCCAACATGTGACAGCTATAAATAAGTCTTTAAAACATGCTTTGGAGCTAGCAAGATGGGTCACAGGGTACAGGACCTTGCCATCAAGATTGACAAGCAGTTCACTGTCTGGGACCCACATGGTAGAAGAAAACTGACTTCTGCAAGTTGTCCCATACCTCCATATATGTGCTGTGGTGTATGTGCATGTACCTACACACACACAAACACTAAAATAAAATGTAATTCTTAAAAAATGTAAACAAGGCTGCACATGGTAGCACGCATTTTAATCCCAGCCCTCGAGAGGCAGGCGGAGGCAGGCGGATGTCTGAGTATGAGGCCAGCCTGGGCTACAGAGCACGCTCCAAGACAGCCAAAAGAGACCTTGTTTCATAAACCAAAATAAATAAGTAGAGAAAAACTTAAAAATTCAGAGCTAGATAGTTATCTCGGTGGTTAAAAGCACTTGTTTTTGCTCAGTTTCCAGCACCAACATGGTGGCTAGCAACCATCTGTAACTCCAATCCCTTTTCTGACTTTGGGGACAGGGAGTGGGGGGGTGTTTGTTTGTTTGTTTGTTTGTTTTTGAGGACACTAGGCATACATGTGGTACACATATATACATGCTGGAAAACACTCATACATACATGTGTATTAGGAGCAGAGATGTAGATCAGTGCTAGAGCACTTACCTAACATGCATCATGCTTTGAGTTTGGTTTTCTACATGTATGCATACACTACATGGCTGTTGTTGTTGTTCTTTTGAGGACTAATCCTTTAATTAAATGTTAAATTGGCAAACAGAAAGGATAGCATAGAAAATAGTTTTCTATATAAAGATCAACCTTACATGCTTTTCCTTGAAAAAAATTTTCACCTATATGTTAAAAGACAAGGACATTGCTTTGCAGAAAGCCATCAGAATTCTCATTCCATATTATACACAAGACATCCAGAAGTCTCCTGCAGATACATGTGCTTCTGTCAGCTAGTGGAATTAGCCTTACAGAATTAACGTCTCACCCTTGTGGCTATCATAGTAATTCTTTTAATTTTGTTGTCTTTTTATTATTTAGGCAAAGATGCAATTTACACTATTCCAGTAAAAAACATTCTTGCTGTAGAAAAACTAGAAGAAAGCTCTTTCAACAAGAAAAATGTAAGTTGTATAAATATTGAAGCACTTTAAATCATCACGTGTAAGTCATGTTGGCATTTACCGTTCAGGTCTCTAAGTAATGTCCCAACTTGGGTCAACTGTTGCCACTCAGCTGGTGCAGGACCCTCCAATCACCAGGATGGCGTCTTCGTTCCTTAGCATCTCGTCACTGACTTGTCCTTCCTCACAGTTTCTCCTGCATCTAAAATTACCTGTGTTCTTACTCAGACAGTGCCCCATTCCTTTGCACATGTATGGCATCTACAATTGATAGTGTTCTACGTCTTAGAACCATTAACTAAGATGGTCTTTGGTACTCACCTGCTTAGTGTAACAATTCATTAAGACACATTAGCAGCCATTCCTTAGCCAAGCAAGCTAGATCTCCTAAGTCCTTTTTCTGTTTGTGTCTTATATGTTGTTTTTAAGGCTTCTCTAACTTTTTATCTTAATTGCCAATTAAGATGTTCCAAGTGATACATACAGAGAAAACGCTGTACATCCAAGCAAATAACTGTGTGGAAGCCAATGAATGGATCGACGTGCTGTGCAGGATGAGCAGGTGCAACCACAACAGGCTCAGCTCTTTCCACCCTTCCGCGTATCTCAACGGAAACTGGCTCTGCTGCCAGGAGACAAGTGAAAGCACACCAGGCTGCAAGCCATGCACTGCGTGAGTAACTGTGTGGTGACAAGAGTAGTGATCCGCAGCCCCTGACCGTACCTGGGTGTGGATGTAAGAACACGATGCTAAGTAGAAGTAGCTGGACACAGAAGCCGCATAGTGTTGAAACATTTCTATAAACCGTGTCTAGAAAGGCTTGGGTTGTTGCCTACTGAGTAGAATATTACCTGACACACACAAGGGCTTTGGTTGAATCCTGATAACCACAAAAAGTAAAATCTAGAGAGTAAATAAGTTACTATAGACACAAATGTAAATTAGTGGTGGCCAGGGACTAGATGAACTGTTACCCTTTTATTATTGGTGCATCATTTGGTGAAGAACCATAGGTTATAAAAACGTTTTATTGGGACTGGAGAGCAGTTAGTGCTTGCTGCTGCTCTTGAAGAAAGAAGACCCAAGTTTAGTTCCAAAACCTCTGTGACAACAGCTCCAGGGCATAGATTGGATACCCTTTTCTAGCCTCTGTAGACACACACGGACACACACACATATGCACACACACGCACAGATATACATATACACATTAAAAATATTTTTTAAATGATTTTATTTCAAAATCCTTTTTGAGACTTGAGTCCTTAACAACCAGACCTTGTGGTCCTGTAGAACTATCTCGGAAACTAATTTCTGAAGTCTTTTTTGAAAAATTCAAATTCTAGCTTTAATCTCAGTTCATCAAAAATCTTTCTAATGGGGCTGGAGAGATGGCTCAGCGGGTAAGAGCACTGACTACTCTTCCAGAGGTCCTGAGTTCAATTCCCAGCAACCACATGGTGGCTCACAACCATCTGTAATGGGATCCGATGCCCTCTTCTGGTGTATCTGAAGACAGCGACAGTGTACTCACATATATAAAATAAATAAATCTTTAAAAAAAAAATCTTTCTAATGTTAACAAAGAATTTTTCCAATGTCTTTAATTTTCTTTTTATCATAGAGGCATCCCTGCAGACATCCAGATAGATATCGATGAAGACAGAGAAACAGAAAGAATTTATTCCATTTTTACCCTCAGTTTACTTAAGCTGCAGAAAATGGAAGGTAAACATACACTCTACTTTTATAAAACCATTATTTTTCATTACTAATTTCTGGGTTATTTCTTGGACTTTTTAAAAAGTTGAAAATAGTTATAGATTTCCTAAGTTACTGATAATGAAGTTTACAAAACCTAAGAGGAGGCATTTATCCTATGTATTCATGAAATTAAATAATTATTCTTATGTAAATATACTTGTTCTGTTTAGTAAACTGTTATAATACAGTTACCTGTGCTCCCTTAGAAACTTCAAAACTTTTTAAATTATACTACAGATTACATTTGTGGAATTTAGTTTTCTGATCAGAGATTTCACTGTTCCTTACAGAGGCCTGTGGAACTATAGCTGTGTATCAGGGGCCACAGAAAGAACCTGGTTATTCTAAGTTCACCATTGAAGATTCTGTCGCAACCTTTAAGACAATTCAGCAAATAAAAAACACCATAGAGAAGCTAGATGAACCTCATGAGAAATACAGAAAGAAGAGATCAAGTAGCGCGAAGTACGGAAGCAAGTAAGTGCCTCAGTCTCCACATCGCCACATCTCTCCAGACCCCGCCTTTCTCCTCTGCATGCTTCCCTTCCCTCCCGTCTTCTGCTCTCCTCAGTCCAGCTGTCCTTTATGTCGGTGCTGGACTTCCATCACTGCTTTGAATGCTGTGGTCAGTTGTAATTCACTCTGTATAATTTGTAGCTTTTTCTTTTTGTTGTCTCCTTTATAGTTCTCACAATACATATTTATTGTGAATACCAAGAAAGTAAGCCATAACGGTCCGTAGGAGCATTTGATAGTGGGTTTCAAGTCTACATCTCAGATGCAGAGGATAAGCTGGCTAAGGACAGCAACAGCTGACACTCAGTGGGACTCGTTCCTCTGAGGACGCCACACCCAACACTGGACACTGTCAGCTGGATTACTCCAGCAGCAGTAGCAGACTCCTGAGGGAAGTTTTCAGTCCCCACAATGAAGAGAAAGCATATACAGTGGGTTAATGCACCCACTCAGCCCTGTGCTGGAGCAGTTTCCCACTCAGCCCTGTGCTG